AAAGTAATAATTAAGAGCAGCCTTCTCATGTGCCTAGCAGTGCAAGGCCAAGATCCACAACGGCTACCACAACGTAAATGTCAAACAGAAAAGGGAAAAAAGCAAACAGACAGGCAGGAATTACCCCTACAGCCTCTGCTTGCTCCATTCTTATTCTTTACTGCTGACATACAGCAAAGAATCCTACTGCGTATCTTACAAGACATATAAATAATTTAAAACTGGATTTCTGGTTGAAAAAAAAAACAAACCTCCGGCTGCGAAAACCAGAGAATTTTCATTAAGTCACTTTGTAAGTAATTTATAGCATGCTAAGACTTACAAAATAACAAAGGAATGACAGGCCAGTTTCTTGTTAATGAGAACTGGAACAGGGCAGAATCAGCGGGAACAAGGAGCATTTCCACCTCAAATATGGCTCCATTTAACCAGGCAACGTGCACTTGGTTAACTCCAGTGCTCCCACGCTGGAAATCCTCCATGATATCTTCAAAGCAGGGGACAGAGAGGAGACAACCCTTGAATTTCACAATAGGTTTCCTTCATGTTTCTGGATGAACTAGAAAGGACATGTAGGTAGAAAGAAAACATTGATGTGAAGTACATAAACTTCTGCAAATTGGAAAGCTGCAAATTTTTGTATTACTTTTGGTGAGAGGTCCATGCAAGCACTACAGCCACCTGCGCAGAGATGAAACTCAGTTGCTGTGGACAAACATGGTGGTCTCGGGGCAGGACCAGCACCGCGTTACGTTTGTGCAGCCTTTGCTCAGAGGCTAGTAGGCTGTACTGTATTAATTAATGAGCCAAGATTTGTCCTCTAAGGAGCAGCAAGCCCAAATCTTTGATTTCTTACACCAAGAAATCACAGACCTTAAGATAATTAATTAGTTTAATTATCATTAGGCTCTTTGAGTCACTAGAGGGAGACATGAGCACATGCCTTAAGCCAAGATGTTGTATGCGAATTGGAAAAAACACACAGTAGATGATGGCATGAAGCATTTTAAACATTAACTATAATATCTACACCACATGCAGCTTCTCAAGATGTTTTGCTGTCATCAGCTTACTAAAAGATAAAGATTTATTGGGCTATTACTGAAAAGGAAGCTAGATACTGCCAAATGGCATGGACAGTCAGATGACTAGTTGCTGACATCTTTATTCATATATAAAACAACACAACTCGGTTGTATTTTTTCTAACTACCATACTTGAAGGAATCAACAAAGCAGTGCCTTATCATACAGAACTTTTAAGTAATTTTCAAATCATTCATGGGCTTTGGACACTTTTTTTTTTTTTTTTTTTTTTTCTATTAGCACCCTGTCAACTTTCAGTGCTGACTAAAATAAGAGATAAGCAGTGCTGGATATAGATTGGTTTAACAGTGTCTCAAGATGCTGAGGGGACCATACGATGGAACGGTGCTTCCTGGATCACAGTCACAAGTTCACTCTCGTTCCGGTGCCGTGTGTCATACATGAACATCTCAAGTGCTGCCGACATGGCTTTTTAACAGTTTTAAGCCATAAACCAATGCTAACTCTGCATAGGTTGAGAATATTACGGTTTAATATTCCCACATCTACTTTTTGATCAGCTCTTAATAGCAATCATCAGGCCTGAAAGCTTAGTGCAATAATATTATCAGTTTCTTGAATACTTTAAATATGGCTTCTAATAAAGAAATTATTGAACACATTGCAATAATTATACAACTATCTTTATAACGTATGTTAAAAAGATGACAGACCAAATGAACTTATTCTATTCCTTGTAGAAAGCTGTACAGAAAGTGAAATAAATCACACACAACAAAATCCTGCAGTACTGTAGAGCTCAATCTCAGTTTGCTCTAAAGTTTAAAAGTAAGCCCAAGCCTGTAGAGCTGTTCTCCCAGAAGCTTAGCTGGCCGTATCTGTCCGCTTTTTCTGACAGCTTGATATACTGTGCCCCCCCTTTGTTACACATTTTGAATTCAATTTAGCATGCTACTTCCAATTAACCAGCACACACTTATTGCATTATTTGGCATTAAACAGGCACATGTGTTCCTTTAGGTCCTGCCAATGTGAGAAGACAATACCCTTAAGGTGAACCGGGCTATTTGTTCAGCAAGTATTAGGCTCTGGGAAGTGTCCAAGAAGGCTGATGGGAGCCCGCAGGTGTGCAGTTTCAAATGCCTTCAAAGTGCTTCATGCCCAAGTCTTTCAGAAATGTTACACTTCACAACCATCCTCTTCCAGCAAGATTTATGCCGTGTTTTGAATATTTCTAATACTCTGGAGAATGAGTGCCAGAAACCTCTATTTATCAGGCTCAGTCACTGGACCAGTTGCTCTGGTCGGGGATCATATATAAACCCATTTATGTATAGGCCATTATTTATTCTATACAAACTACTAAAAGCAGGTGTGACTTCAGTGTGTTTGCTCTGAATGTGTATTAGTTTAACAGAATAAAGTTTCATCCACAACATAAGCCTGTTGCTTCAAGACTATCAATAAGGAGAAAACAAGAAGAAATTTTAATGACATGTTTATATAAAAAAAAGATCATCCTTTCACTATTATATGTGTACAACAGAAAGTACAGCACAGTTTTGAGATACATCCCACATATTCTTTGAAGAGGGGTTACAAATTCACAAAGACATAATATTGCTACGCAAGTGCTTACTAAAAGCAAAAAGAACAGAATAAACAATTTATGCTCTACAAGTCTGAGATTCAGTGTTTACCACTGGAAATTGCCTTACGCAGTGTTAGAATTTAAAGCTTTGATCCTGCAAAAGAATTACTGGGCACAAATGCAGCTCATGGACAGAGCTGCCACAGTCAGCCACAGGTCAACATCCAGGAAAAGTCCTTCAAGACTGGGGAGAGAGAAGGTTTCTTGGTCCACCAGTTCTCTTAAGGACTCTTCCTAAGCTTTTCTTTAGTCTGAGAAGCAGCTAAACTCTAACTAAAACGTTATTTGTTACTGTTAGATCAACAGTATGAAGGCACGATGGCTCCAAAATGTGTCTTTGTCTCCTCTGGGAAGGACATAAAGGTATAATTTCCATGTTTGTCCCATTGGCAACTCCTGATACTATGATGGTTATTACTTACACAAACAGAAATCTGCAGCCAATCAAAATAATATGGTTGGCAAGAAATCTGGGCAAACTTTAATAGCTATAGTTCTTCAACATAAAAAGGATAAAAGTAGAATAATAATTTTTGGCAGGGGAAGTGGGGAATTTTTAAAATTCTGATTGTTTTCCTATGAGGATAGTGTTATAAATACTGAAGTCTAACTTAAAACATGTCCTGGTTTCATGAATTCACATTGAGTAAGATTCTGCTGGACCCACTGAGTTAGACTCAACTCATTTCCACTCTTCTCAAACTGAAGCTATCTGGAATACACAACAAGGTAAGAGAGTGGGATTTGGCACAGAAACTGCACGGTCGGAATAATTTAAATGTCTTTCTGAAAGGAGTTATCTGTGCATGCAAGTGTGTTACAGAGGAATACACAGAGCGCTCTTTTCAAGAAAGCATAATTAACTTCAGCCTTCTGGGAAATGCAGAGCCAAGAAAGGCATTACCAAGTGGAAGATGGACATAAATTTAAATATAAAAACCATTTTCACTGAATTTTTCACTTTCATTTTCAACAAGCTCCAGTGTTATGTTCAGGACAGTATCAGCCTGACAGTTTTTCACTGGAGTCTGATGAAGCAAATAAGCAGAATTATATTATTTTAGTAGTAATTAAGCTCACTTGCTGCAAAATGAATCTATGGAAAAGTTAAGTTAGTAGCTTTTCCATTAAAAAGTACATGCTGTCTAATAAAGACTATTTTGTAGGCACAGAATTAGGTAAATTTGTTAATCCGCAGTAAGGAGCAGCATCAAAACATATGAATGACATCACAAGCGATTCCTTAATTAACAGCTAATGATGTAAAGTTTTGGCTTGTCTTCTAGAAAATGATATCCTCTAAACATTTTCCCTGACTTGTGAAAAAAGTGAAAACCTTCAAAACTAGAGAACTAAGAAAAGACATTAAAAACTACCTAATTAAAAGTAATCTTTTAATATTTTTGAAACATTAATTTTATTTTCTTTTTTTACCTTTATATGGTGGTACTTTATTTTGGAACAAAGTCATATTAAGCCCCAAATCAGAATGATCTGTTTAATGGCATTGAAGTGAACTTCTTCTCCCAAGGCAATAACATAAAGAAGCTAAGAACTATTTTGAAGGAGAAATGTCTAAAAAAAGACGATTGCATGTGAATGGTTTTGTATGAAGAAGTGGCATTTTCAGATTTTAAAAAAAGTTTTCTGAATTATTTCCCAGGCAGATCTACTTGGCCCTCCAATTCATTGGCACGTACGCAGTATCAGTCACTTAAAAGATGCATTTCACCATGTACCTAAAATTGGGACATTCTTTAAAAATACTTAATACAAAAATCTTATTTCCTCTATACTACATATTTACAATTCAAGGTACTGTGGAAAATGTAAACAAGTATTCACAGGTGTAAATAATATGGCTTGAGAAGGGTTTCCCCTTTGATTAGCTGCTCTAATCACTTATCAGTATACATAGATAAGAGAAAAACAGTACATTTTATAAAATGCTGTCAAACAGCAAAATATAAGTTCTTTTTTGGGGGTTGTAAGTTCTTTTATGCGTTAGCTGTTGAGTAACCATACCAGTCATCGGGCATCTTTCCCCGAACTGAAATGTCCGATGTACTGGGATAGGGGCAGTGGAGGGTCACTGAGGTAATGGGGGTGGATACAGCTGAGGCTGAGGGAGCAGGCTTTGCTCAGTGGTTGGAAGAGAAGACCAAGGGGAGGTACTACTGCTGTCTTCAACTACCCCATGGGGGCTGTAGATGAGATGAAGCCAAACACTTTTCAGAGATGCACACTGAAAGGATGAGAAGCAGCAGACCAAAGTAAAAACTTAGGAGATCCTGATTAGAAAAAAAAAATAAAAAATTGTGAGCATGAAATTGTCACTGGGACAGGGGCTCACAGAGGTGGTGGATCTTGGAGATATTCAGAACTCAACTGGATGAAACGCTGAGCACACCCATTTATCTTTGGGGTTGACCAGGCTGTGAAGAGAAGCCTGGACCTCCAGAAGTCTCTTACCACTTGACTTACCCTATGATTCTATGAAAAATCTTGAATATAATGTGACGCTTGCATTACTATTGTAGTTTGGCTCTGCCATAAGTACATAGCCAAGATCAAAATCGGGATCATTCTTCTCCAGCAGTTGATAAGATTATATCTAGTTGTCTTACATGAGATTTACCTTATCAGTTCCAGTTCAGTGAAAATGCCCCATATTGTCACATAATTATAGGATCAGACCTAGGCCATCACCTCTCTAAAAGAACATTTAAAATGTCACAGCTGACAGTAAAGCCCTGCTGAGAGCCACACACTTCTGACTACTTTTTGGGACAACAACAATTTTGTCACATTTACATTGAGCATGAAGTGACGAATAACAACCTGTATTGCTTCCAACAGATCACAGTTTGAATTAAACACCCAGGTGAGCACGTGTCACTTGCTTTGTACTGGACAATTAATGACTGAAGATGTGTTCAAGACCCGAGGTGAACCATGCTGCAAAACTGCCAACTCATTATTCAACCGCAAGAACAAACATCTTTAAAAATCACAAGATAGAATCAATTATTGTCACTTTGTCTCTTCTAAGACAAAAATTTTCTCTTGCAGAGTTGCAATTTGTTATGTTGTAGTGTGAGCACAAGACCTGGAACTGCCTGTACTTTGGCAGTCTATTGAGTCCATGTCCTGATGTCCTTTAATAAGTGCACTTTTGATATAGTCAGACTCAAGAGGTTGCTACACAGATTTTGTAACTCCTAACCTAAAGAGAGGTATAAAGAGGCACTCTGAAATATTTTAGTCTGGTCAGCTCAGAATACTAAAATAGAGAACATTATTTCTTTATAATGACATAGCCCTATGTTAGAGAACAACCTGTCTAAACAGACAAAATAGCACCAAAATGTCTTTGTTCTATTAAGTGACCAACAGCAGCTATTGAACAGTATCAGGATTTTTTAAAGGTGACTTAATCAAACTATTGTGCAGTAAAAGCACGTTATACTCCTTGTATAACACATACATAGATTATCTTTTTTAAACATCTATCCTTGCTTACTATCTGCTTTCTCCACCCAAGATAAAACTCTTTTCTGCATTAGAAGGCACTGTTTGATGAGCACAGTTTGGCTTGACAAACCACTGAGAAACTCAGCTGGCAAGATGGAAGACCACAGAAAGCCGTAAGAGTCTGACAGATGACACCATGCTCTTTGGCAGATGGATTCAGATGTAAGCAGGATATAGATGGAGACCTAATCAGTGAATCCACACTAGCAACGTGGTACATATTCTTAAATTGGACTGTGGTGGATTCTTCTTCAGTTGCAAGATTAAAATTGGACTGAATGCTTTTCTAGAACATACAATGTTATTCCAAGAGGAATTAATTTGGTGAATCCCACTAGTTTCCGTGCAATGTGATTTTGCAGTGAATCCATATTGGCTTCATAATCCCTGAAACACTCATTAAACTTCATGCTGGTTGTCAAGAGGATTTAGAAAGTCACTTATATATGGTGTGGCTCACTGCAAGTTGATGTGTTACATACCGCTTATCCTGATACTCTTTGGGACTGCTCTTATTAAAAACACGTCCCACCTTTCAAAGAAGGAATTATATTATATATCAGAAAGAATGTCCAGAGCAGATTAAAGGAGGGGGAAGAGGCTAGGAATAAATACATGAAACAGATTCAACTTTTTAAAAGAATCCAGCTACTAAATGGCCTCTGTAGTCTTCCATAAGAAGTGTGAATACTTCAGTACAATTCAAGCTGAATTGAATAGCTGTTTCATATCCAAATTCAAATACCGTCTGTGCATATAAAACAGTTCATTTATTAGTCCAAATGTTACTGTTGTAGAGCTCTTGGAAAAATATTCCCTCTTTCTTGAGTTTGTTCTTCATAAAAAGGAAGCTTTGGAGGGCCACCTAGAGAATTAAGTAGAAACATGGTTTCAGGTCTATATAACATAATACTGAAATATTATATAGATTATACAGTTTACACCTAAATAATTCAATAAATGGTACTCTTCAAAAGAAGTTAGAGGATTGAGTTACACTGGCCTTCTCACAAAGACAGAGAGCAGGCAAAACAATAAAACATCTCTCAAACAGAAGGTTCCCAAAGTGTTTTGTATGTTCTATATGTAGAATTGTATGGTATCACCATGAAGCCAGTTGTGATTAGACTACAAGTGGGAGGAAACTTTCACTCAGTACTATATTTCATTAAGAAGAGAATTTATTCTAATAAAAAAAAAAACAACAAACAAAAAACCCCTGAAAAAACTGCAAGCCCTTTTGTGATAGCATGATGAGTGCTGTAGCACACTCACAAATCAATCCAAATCTATCTTCCAATGTTTTAGCTACTTATCTGGTTTATCATATTTCACCACGCTTTTCAAAACCTGACACCTCTACAAAAAGTAAGTGAACGTGATGGCACACACAGCAAGTAAAACTCCTTATTCATCTCACAGATGCTGTGGATACCAACTGCTTCAGGGCAAGATTTCATACTGGCAGGTATAGAAGAACGTACCGCTCTCTGGCATGTGTGTGCCGGAGGCAGCCTTGAGAATCCTTCCCTCTGAGGGAAAACCACTGCACTGAGTCAGTTCAGCTTGCCCAAGACCTCACAACCATGGGGATCGACTCCTGGCGTTTGCACCCTTAGGCACCTGGACCCTCAGAAGGACAGCACACACCAACACAACCCTTCCAATCAAAGCTGGGCTGGCTGCTGCTGAGCACCATGTTTGTGTGGTGGATTGATATTCCTGTCCAAATGGTCCACTGACCACCACCATGGTCACTGCGTGATTTCTTCTACTAAGAAAGGCTGATCAGCTTGTGTTACCTTCTTTGCAGGTTGGCCCCATCCACGTGGCTGGGCACAGGCAGTTCCCGTTGTACGGATTGCACTGGGATTTGCTGGCACACTGGCATCGCAGGGAGCAGTCAGGGCCATACTTGTCCGACCTGCATTCTGAAAGGACAGAAGTGTTTGGAAGAGGGTGAATGCTCCCTAGTGTCTCCCTGTTCTCTGGGATCAGGAAGCTACTTAGACACATCTGTTAACATTAAAATAATGGCATTTTGGAAAGGCTGCAGTCCTCAAGTTTCATCTACCGCATGGCTCTGCCCAAACTGTAGCCTAGCTGTCCTAAAGAAGTTCCCAGAATGGAAATCATTATTGGTGTAAAAAGAAACAGAAAAGATCTTGGGATCTGCTCAGGAAAGTTACTGTCAGCATCCTGGATCCACACTATCTCCTGCACCTCCCCACTACACAGCTTGGCTGTCTGTGTGTGCCAGCAAAGAGCCTTCCCTCAAAGAATGTGCAATTGAAGATTAATCCCTTTTGTATATACTCTTATGTCTTACTCTGATTGCACAATTCTGCTGCCTCCTGGAAAATTAAGCTCACAAAATATCTCACCCCCAAATACAAACACATTTCATACCTAGGCTGATAAATCCTCACCGCAAATTTTTTATGCACTCGGAGTACAGGCATGAAGGAAAAATTAGCAGCAGGTCACAAGTCAGGGTGCTAAATACACTGTAAACAATAGCCTTCTCTCCCTCACCTCCCTAGAAAATACTTTAAATAATCAAGGTGCTTGCTTTCTCACACGAGCACCATTAGGTAAATAAAAGTGCTGCTGAGCCCTGCATCAGCTGCAGCCCCAACACGTGGGAGAACTCTCCTTGTGTGCTCAGAGCTTGGCCTTTTCAATTAGGAAATGTTATGAGAAAAGGTCTCCTCAAACACCTCTGGACCTGATTTTCATTTATGTAATACCACATTTTCATGTTAATAACAATGTGTATTTAAGACATCTGTTTGAAAGTCTGCAATGTTAATTTAGTACAGAAAAAGAGCTCCCATAAAAGTCTGTTATATTCTCTCTCTTTTTTTTTTTTTTTTAATTAACATTTTGCCTGTTTAATGGGTGCTTTACCAGAGTTCAAATTAAAATCAGGCCTTTTATCTTTATGGCTGCTGCACAGTCACAGCTGCTCACAGTTATATCACAGATGAACTGAGCCTAATTGAAAATAAAAATGCAAATAAAACCTACCCCATAACAGCTTTTCATGGATGGGGGCTACCCTAACTGATTTAAGAAAAATAAAAATGACTCCTAAAGTTTGCAAGAAGCAAAACCTCAGTTCACATTTTCGGTGCTGAGCTTCCCCCTTGCGTTCTACCTACAATTTCACAAGAAAGGCCCTCGGATGCCCAGCACCGTGCTGGCTGTGGGGGTGGCCGCTGTCCCCCACCGAACCAGCGCCTGCAGTCTGGGTGGCTTCGGTTTCTGACCACAGGACAGGGGGGAGAGGGAAGAAAATAATTTTCCATTTTCGTTTAGCACTAGCACTTAAGCTCCCAGCAATTACTTTGCATTAATAACAGCCTTTTTAAAGCTGTTTCCTTCCCTGTCCTAGAACAAAAGGAGATATAATATTCCTCCCACTGTGATTCAGGGGCTCAGGAGGATTATGGTTCCTGGTGTGAACTTCCAGTAGTCATACATGGATGTTCACTCCTTTTATCTTGTTTGCCACAGCATTAGGATCACAAATCTCTTCTCACACTTGTTTAAACCACTCCAGTGATTGCCCTAAATTTACTTCATCATAACTGTGATCAGAGTCCGGCTCAAGAATCTTGTCTGCCATTGCTGCCTCTCAACCCTTCAACCATCTTATCAGGGTAGAGCAGTGGGACTGGTTTTCCCTACAGGAGAACTTTCTCACCTATTTTTATATCCTTGTTACAAAATAATTCTGCTCTCATGGGCCAACCATTTCCCAAACACACAGCCCAAGTGCCTGCCCTGCAAATGAGGGAATTTTATTTGGATTAGATGTTCCTGGACTACTGCTGAACCCCAGAGGCAGGCACAGCTGCTGCAGCTCCACCACCCTCATCCTCAGGGATTCTGACCTGTTTCCTGGGGAAGCAAACCCGGAGCTGGACATACCTTTGCATTGGTCTGAAAAGGGTCACAAATGTCCATGTGACAAAACACACGACAATTGGCTCCCTTCTTGCCCATTTGCACCCTCTGGAGTCTTCCTAACTACGTCTGTAAAACTGTGGGCTTCTTGGTGTATTCTTAACTAGTGCACGTTCTCCACAACTCAAGGCAAATGACATTTTACAGCTGACCCATAAACAGTTTTCCTATCGGTGTATCAAATTTAAATATTGATTAAATCAAGAGGTACAGCCTGTTGATAAAGCTGTTGATAACCCCTAAGAGTAATTAGCCACAAACAACATGTTCTTGAATACCAGCAAATGTCCTTTCACAGTTGTGCTTAGACAAACAGGTCATATTGGTTTAAGCATACATAGCCCAGCCCTTAGAAAATAATACCCTTACCAGTGTCACATTTGTCTCCAGTCTTCCCAGGTGGGCAAAGGCACTTTCCAGTCTCTGGATCACAAGGAGCTCCTCCACAGTCACATCGGTGCTGGCACCTCTCTCCAAACCAGCCCCTGTCACAGCCTGATGGCAAAAGCACTTTTTAGATGCACATTTGAATGGCAAGATGTACATTAGGCCAGGGAGGGGTCTTCCAGGATGTCTCAGAGAAAAGCTCATAAACTCTTCACTGCAGCTAGTGTAAATGTCAAGTTTAATGAAGAATTGAACATAGCAGAAAAGGCATAATATTTATATGAACTCTCTTTATGTTGGGTTTGTCTAATCTAACCTATCAAAGGGATCTGTAAATCTGTCCCAGAAATGGTACTGGCACGTATTTTCATTTTTAATTAGAACTCTCTAGAAGACCATTCCATAACACTCAACAGGTCTGATGTGCACCTATTCAATAATCTTATTCAGAGTTTTAGAAGCAAATTTAAAATCAGTAAAAAGAACTTATATTTAATAAACGACATGTGGAACTCATTGCCGCAAGACATCATGGAGACCAAGACTTTCACTGTATTAATCGGAACCAGATTAGTTAATTTATAAGGAAATGAGAACACCCAGCTATTTAACAGATAAACAATCCCAAATCCAGTGTTTCAGGTTATTCATAAAGCTCAAAATCTGGAAGAAGTTGCTCTCATCAAACATTTGCACAATGAAATGGCATTTTGTGGGTTTTATTTTGGGTTTGTTTGTTTGTTTTACATCAGAGAGGTATAAGTACCTTTCTCGCAGTAGACCCCTTGGTAACCCAAAGGACAAATGCACTGTCCTGTCACTGCGTCACAGCTTGCTCCATTTTTACAAGCACATGCTTGAAGACAGCTTAGGCCATAAAATCCAAGGGGACACCCTGAAAAATGAAAGTATCAAATTATGAAGGTTTATGAAGTAAAACATACATCTCTTTAAAATCCTCTGTGTTCTCAGATACGTTCCCTGGGATCCAACAAATATGAAATGTTATTGTTAACTCTAATAACGCCCTGTGCTTTTAAACTTGTAGCACCCCGACATCCCAGTGACAGAGATCTGGAAGCAGCTGGGTGATCTGGGACACCCCAAAAATTTTAATTGAACTGGCAAGGTGTTCATGTGACTACTCTGAAGCCCCTCATCCCATCACTGTTGGGAAAGAGGGCACCTGGTCTTTCCAGGGTGTCACCACTTACTGTGCTCACAGGAGTGGCCGTAGTAACCCTCGGGGCACCGGCAGCAGCCCGTGAACCTGTCGCAGGTGCCGTTGTGCTGGCACGAGCAGTCCAAGCCACAGCCAGACCCATACTTTCCTGGGAGACATTCTGCTGGCAGGACACGGACAGAAAGAGACACACACAAAAAAATCACTGATCTCACCCAGAAAAGCTCTTATGCGATAGCTTGCATAGCTGAGGTATCATGTCCATACAATAAATTGCGGAGCCAAGGAGAACATTTGTTATGAAGACACAGCATTTCTGCACAACTGTGATGTATTTACATACTTTGATGATAATTCTTTACATAGACGATCAAACAGCCACTTCCTTGTACTTTTTACGGTCTATCTTTTTTTGTCTCTTTAAGCAGTCAATGTTGAACCCGCACCATGTGTTGTAAAGCCACATAGTAAATGTCATAAATGGTATCTTCTATTTTTTTCCTATATTTACAGCAATATTTTCTCTTAAGCACTTAGAAAGTGTGAAAGAAAACATGAAGCTTTTCCTCCTCTGTGTTATCATAAGAGTTCACACCATTCCAATTCCTAATAAAACCAGGAAGATCTCTTTCACACATAGCAACAGACTTTCCACGTATAATGAGATATCTGCTCTTACAGACCTAAACATATCTCAAATTACTGAAAGCCAAGTCATGCAAAAGCGACTCTGCCAATATAATTAACCTAGGAATCATTTCTGCATAAGTTAACTACCCACTGCTGTGATAATTTGCATCTGGGCAGACCAACTTAAATGAGCGTGGCCGTCCAAATAATCAGATTCATAACTCTGCGAATGTCAGACAAGATCTTTCAAGAACATCATATCTAATCACTAGAAGAAGGACGTCTGATTAGCTGGTTTTGATTTCTAGTCAAAACACCCTCAAAAACCACACTGCTGTGGAAATCAAGACTCAATTTTCCAATAACTTGGCTATCTGTGTCAAAAGAGAAGCAGTGAAGCTGTTCCTAGTGAAATAACAGACAGCGTGTTACACAATGTGTGCACATCTGCCCCCCATGCTTGACTTCAGAGATGTTTTATCTAAGCACATCTATAAGATACCCCATGATCCACTACTCCACAGAACTCTACTGAGGCTTTGCAACCTAAATTCAGTCTATGAGTGGTTACAGAGATTTCAAGGATCAGAGAGATGAACACAGGTGGCCTATGCAACGCATAGTTAGTCAGTTCTTGGTAAACTGCACTTTTTTAGTGCCTGTCCGCAATGGTATTCACACCAAGCAGTTCCATGTAGTTAGCAACTTTCTATTTCTCCTGCTCCTTCTCTGCACACACGCATGCATGAAGTGGGTTTCTGAGTCTTCTCAGGTGCAAAGTGAAACAATTGCATCAAAGAATGCTGCTAAAAAAGCGTCATTTCTGTATGACACTTCTATATAGGGACACTCCCCTATAATGACCAGTTCTTGGTAAAGATATGTATGGAGTTTGATGTGGATATTCTACAGATGTCAGGATCAGAAAGGCTGTAAATGAGGGCCTGGGAGTGTGTTGGGGAGATTGCACCGTGGCACTTACAGCGTAATGGTGACATCTGTCTTGAATGTGATCTCAGAACTAACTATATTTCACATTAGTAAGCTCATGGTTTTCTGAAATTTTAAGTCCATAACTATACAGATATCTCTTAATAAAGGGAGAAATGGGAATACAGAAATGCAGGATGACTTTGGAAAAGAAGGAAAGACATGGGAAGACTCTACTCTGAGCTGGCAGGAGGGTTTCTGGAGTGAAAACTGAGCTTATTCTGTTTAAGTGTGCTTTGTCTTGTGTAAGGGAGAGATGTCATAGAGAAGGGCGTGACAGCAGGACAATCTCAATTGCTTTGGACAGATGTTACCAGAACTGTACTGCAGGGAAGTCAATACATGGGAAGTTCAACTGCAGTCCAGTGTCAAAAGAAAGAGAATAACAAGAGAGAACATAACAAGGGAGAAGGGAGATGAGGCTTCTGCTGAACTCAGAGGAGCACATGAAAGAAGATCCAAAACAATGTTCCCATGAGCAAAAGATTGCAAAAGTTGGACAGGAGTAGAAATAAGAGTCTGTGCAAAGGAATTTATGAGAGTTACAGAGCAGGACTCAGGAGGAAACTGTCCCTGAAAAAAAAAGACTTAAAGTTCTACCTAGGGGCAGTTTTCCATGAGAGAAGCTAGAGACATGAATGCAGCTGGGATGGAGTCTACTTAAGCAAAACTGTCTCCTTTTGTGGGTCTGTCGACACTGTGAACCCCTGCTTGAATGTACACATCCACTACCATCAAAGCTGAAAATTACCTTTCTCACATGATGTTCCTGTCCAGCCGAGCCCACAAGTGCAGTTGCCATCCACGGGGTCACAGATACCACCATTCTGACAGGTACATGTCAGGTGGCAGTTGGGGCCATATTGTCCCTGGGGACACACTACAGAGAATTAACACAGTTTGTAAAGAAAAAAAAAAATAGCATCCCCAAAAAAGATGAAGGTGACAGGGAATAAATACAAACACACACTCCCCAGACAGCATCCCAAGTGCCTGGTGTCTCCCAAGGGCTGTGGGACACTTCATATTAACAGCTTCATACAAAGATTCTGTCTGGCCATATCTCCTCACTTGGTTTCACTCCACATTTGCTCCTCTTGCTCTCCTCCCTTTGTCCCAGCTCTCAACCCCTCCTCTTCAGCAAATCCTCTCCCTTCACTTTATTGGCTCAAGGTATTTGCTTCTAAATTTAGTCCCATCCATCCACAGCACCCTCACACTGCTCACGCTGTGAGGTACTAACTACCCTTTTCCCCATCTTTATGTTCTGTTTGGACTCTGCAGTCTCTGAAAGGAGTCGTTTCAGCTTTGTGGAGAAACCAGTGCCATGGTACCGAGTATGGTGGAGGAAAGCGGTGAGATGGGGGCAGGATAAAGGCAGGGTGATGGAGCGGAGAGGGACAGGGGCCGAGAACAGCAAACTGCAATGTTATCAAGCAAAGGCATTGGGAAACACAGTTACAAACAATGTTTGGCGCTGAGTTTTATTTGCTGGTTGTTTTAACTATTGTCACCAACAGACGAGATGACCTTGAGTCCCGCTTTGTTACCTTGCTGACAGCTGGGTCCCATTTGGCCAGGAGGACAGGTACACTTGCCAGTCCGTGGGTCACACTGACCTTTACCACATGCACAGAAGAGAGTGCAGTCCTTCCCATATCGCTTTTCAGGGCAAGCTGGAGGAAACACAGTCTTTTGTTAAACACCCTGGGTATCCAATGCCAGTGTTCATTTTTAACATAGGCAGGATCTTGTAGTAGAGTTGTCTTAGTTTTTATTCCAACTAATGTGCTTCAAAGTAAAAGCTATGAAACCAAAACCCATCCAAAGACATGACTGCTTCATCCTCTGAAACTTTACTTGAGGTTATAAATATAATCCGTGGTTTCACATGAAGCATTTAGTAGGTTTCCTACCAAAGAGGTGAGTGTAAAACTGAAATATCAGCTGCTCATCCTTCCAGCTAAAGACATCTTTCCTTCCTTAATACTGATGCTGTCCTGTGCTGAAGAGCAAAGCTATACCCAGTAAGCACTAAAACATTGCTTTTCTGTGGATAAACTGAAGAGAACTTCACAGAGATCGTAGCTTTGGAAATAGCACAGAAATTCAGCCACCCAATTTAGCTCAAAAATAGAGGAGTAGGGTTGCCATGGAGTCTTTACCAGTTTTGCCATGACAAAACTTGATCTTTTTCCCATTTATTGAAACTAATGGCATCATAGTGTGAAGCAAAATATTGAGATAATTTCTCAACCTAGAAATCTGGACAGGAAGAAGGAACTTGAGCAATTCATGCTGAGCTGGCTCTAGAAATAAATTTGGGCAAGCAGGTTGTAATCCTGGGATGAGTATCCTTGCTTCTACACACACAGAAGAGAGGGAAAATATTTTGCAAGAGATTTTTTACAAAGCTGGAATCCTGATTTACAATTCAAGGAGGAGGTAGCTGGGATCTGTCTGTTTTTCTACTGACAAGCTCTTATGCAGATTATTCTCTCTGCTGTTTTTTTGAAAGAAGCAGAACATGAATGTTGGCTTACTTTTACTACAGTCGGCTCCAATGAAACCAGGCGTGCAATCACAAGTTCCTGACGCAGGGTTGCAGTGGCCTCCATTCATGCACTTACAGGGGTTTTGGCAGTTTGAACCATAAGTACCTTTTGGACACCCTGTTTTAAAAGAACAAAATAGCAATTAGGCTATGCTGCTACTGGGCCCATTGCATCTCATGTCATAAGCACTTTGTTGTTTCCAGCCAAAATTAGATTTTCATTTTCTAACTCTATTCACTTCTAGAGGTCCAGGAGTAGGCATTGACAAGCAGATGGTTGCCTCAGGGAATGCACTCCGTGGGGCAGCAGGGCAGCTCTGACTTGCAATGCCAAACCCCTGGAAAGCTGGACCGACTGCTGCTGCTGCTGCTGGGCCGGCTGCTCCCGGCTCTGCCTGCTCCTCCCATTCCTCATATGTGACAGAGGAAGAAAAGCAAGCCCAGTTCTTCAGAGGTTTTCTTCTTTGATTTCTGTTCCAAATCAGCCTGTTGCTCCTTTCTCTCATATGGCAGAGATGGTGCCCTGGTCCCTCTTCCTTTGGGCAGCAACAGCCTGGTTTCCTGGTTTGCCCGAGATGGTGAGAAGCTATGAGACATCTCTGCCCCTTTCAGCAGTCGTTTTAGCTGACCAGTTATGACTACTGGGGCAAGTCTCGTTTTTGAAAAATGTTTGAGTTGGAGAAGGTTTGTTTCCTCTATAATCTACTCTTTCTCTCCAAACTGGAGTTGGTATTGCTCTGGCACATCTAGTGGGCTGTGGAAGGGAGACTATGAAAACATGCACGATAACATGAAACTTCAGAAAACACCTTCTCAGAAGATAGATACAGGAGAGAGATGGCTTAAATGCAAAGCCAGAAAATTCTCTGAGGAAAAAAACAAAGCAGCTGTATTTTGTAATAAATACCCAGAAGAAACATTAGACGTGGATGTATTTCTGAGCCAGTGTTACATGGCAATGAGCTGTCCATGAAGAGGTTTTCCAGGTGGTAACAAGCATCTTTGGTTTCTTTTTGGACAGCTAATGCTGAAGGAGGGATGAATACAAGATCAGGAAGACATGAATGCATCTGCCATACTTAGCTCACATCTTCAAGATACTCTTTAGAGTGATGGAGGCCAGAACTGAGGAAAAGAGCTGGGCAGAGTTGCTAGGCACGTGCTTCCATCTGTCAGGGTTGCCTCCAGCATCCTGCCACTGAACTCTGGAGACACAGTTTATTTTCCTAATTTTCCAGTGCACTGGAAGAGAGAGAAGCTGGTGCTTTTAGAGCAACATGATCATCGCTGGTCAGTTACAATAGTGCTGCTACCTCTACATGTCACTTCTTTGCTCCTTCCTTTCTTTTCTTCTCCTGGCAAAAGGAAAGCCTATGGCTACTTTGGAAATCTGGCTGAATATATATTTACATATGTCTCCAAGCAACAGATCTCTCACAATCTGTGCATAAATACCTTTATATATTTTCTCTCTTTTCTGAAGGCAGGAAAGCGTGGTCTGAATGGCTGGAGAAAGCTCTGGATTTTTTGAACAATTGAATAGAGAGGGAGAGATTATGGTGAAGCTTTAAAAGGATGCCTTTTAAAATAAAACTGAAAATTGGCTTCTGCTCAAATCAGGATAGCAGATAATCAGGAGTAAACAGATACACACTTTTATAGCATACAGATACTCTCCCCAGCCCTTCCCAACCATGGCTTCTTCTCAATGAATACTTCGTCATCAGTGCTTCCATCTCTCAGTACAGAAAATTTATTTCATGTACAAACCTTGGCTTCAAGAAATGAATCCTGCAACATCTATTTCATTTCCACCAAGACTGAAGTTAAGGACACACCCAGATTCAAGGATTTAATTGGACTCCAAGTGAGTTTCTCTTTTCCTCCTCCCTTTCCTTTTGGTCATCATTTTGGCTTTTCTCTTTTTTTAAATCAGTTTCCCACACTTCCAAACATGTTGCTTCTCCCTGGCAAAGCTTTCAGAGTTGTTCTTCATCTCAAGACTAGCAAGAGCTGCACCATTACTGAAAGGGATGCAGTAATTCCTCCCTTACCAATTTATTTACCCTTGCAGCATTTTGTTTATTTCAGTTCAACAGGGAAAAGCACAAGCAGGGCAACCACATCAGCTGTGACGTTCACGTGATTATTAACAAGGCCATTACATCTGTTACTACTTTGCAGAACTTCTATGCAGATAGCTAGGGCAATTTACACAGTGTCCTGCCATTTAAGTAGGCTCTGCCTTTATAAAGAGGGTTTAGCCTCTAACCACCAGTTATCTCATAAAGACATTTTCTAATTTAACAGTTTCCTGTGCATCTGACTTATGTTTTTCTGAGAACAGCAGGAGCAGCAGCCAGATTTCTAACCCATTTCCTGATTTTTTCCTTCTGGTTCAGATGGATTTGCCATGACCAAGAGCTCCTAAATCTTTTCATACCAACTGACTACACTAGAGCTTTTCTTACAAATGTTATTAATTGCATTGTCAAAAAATCACTTCTGAAGAATCCTGTTACCTACAGCATGAAGGTGATGCTGGTGAGGTCTTTCTGGCTCAGGGTTCACCCAGCCCAGTAAATGTCACAGAGACATAACATGGGGGTTTTTATCCATTACAACACCGCTTACTGTTTTTTATTCATAACTTCACCCAAGCAGATCTGCCCATCCACCGAGTTATGGACAATTGATGGGAACCTTATTGCTAGTTTGTCTGCTTCCTCTTGATCCTGCCAAGAGACTGTTTCAGCTCTTCACTCCAAAATTTGAGAACATGAAAGCCTCATTGCTCTTGGCTCCTGGAAATTTGACTTCCCAGCCAACTACACCTTTTATAGATACTTTCTTGAACCTTCTTTCACAGTACTATAAATATAGCAATAGTTGCCAGAAACCGTTTCCAGCAGCATCCAACCACATGTTGACTGGACCGAAGCCCATTTCACATTGGGAGAGGCTCCCTATGCTGTTTTTAATATTATATCGAAAGCTTCTTCATCCTGGAGCAGCCCCAGTTCTCACTGTAGTGAGGACGGCAGGAACATGGAGTATTCCCACCACAGTCACGCTAGCTATCCTTGGTTATCAGACAGTCACTTCAGAATCAAGTCCACAATCTCTCACACCACTGACCTAAACCCAAAAATAACTTGCAAGTAAACTGTTTTCCTTCCATTTCTCTGTCTGTCTATGCAATGGTCAGAGTGGCATAGGGGAGAATATGAAAAAAACCCACATAGATGCAAGACAAATTTTCTCTCGCTGTGAACCTCCACCATTCCATTATCTCTACATATAAAAAACTACTCATTAAGTAAGAATTTGCTGTACAATATACTGTGTATTTTTGGAATTTAAGAGAACACACCACCATGAAGGCTCATGTCTCATACACTATAGGTTTAATCCTAGCTACACAGAAGTCCGTGGCAAAGTCCCTTCTGAACGCAACAAAACACATATTTCATTTTGTATGTAATTTCTTTTATATCAGAATATCAGTGTGATTATTGTTTTAAAATTTTAAATTCTGAAATAAAAACTTAAGTTTCTAAGCAAGCTCGAGGACATTTATTGTAATCTATAGGGGTTTAGTACTACAGGCACAGGTAATGACTACTGAGACACTGCTACATAAAAGTAATAGGCTACCCATGATTAAGTCTTTTAAAATGATATTGTTAAATAGTTGATCTCCACTACCACTCTACTACAATATTTATTATAATGTAATGTATAATGGATCCAGATGGCTCTAGCCTATATTTTGAAGGCCGCATTTCAATCTCACTTAGAGCGAGAACTGACATACAAAGGAGGATAGAATCAACCCTTACATTTACATTTATATTTTAAAGAATAACTTGTGATGACATGATGGTAATACAAATGCCCATCTCTAAAATGTGCCTCTTTCCTATTTCTACTCGAGGAATAAAGCACAGGCTTAACCCTTACTAGAGCTGCATATATGGGTACAAAGGCCAGCTGCACAAAATTGTCACCCAAAAAAGCCAGCAAACCAGAGCTGTGCTGGATTCCTAAGAAAGGAAAATCAGTGTTTGACAAAGAGAGAAAGATAGTGTTTGAAAGATGACAGCTTTTGGGTTTGGTTGGTTTTAATTTTTTTTTTGTTTTTGTTTTAATTAGACTATTACAAGCCATGGAGTGAAAACAAAATTAAAGTTGTAAATAAAAGGTAATTAACTGTCTCCTTTATTGGATACTTTGGTATATGTTTCTTATCAGTCGCCACATTCCACCAGAAACAACTTTACAGATGTCCTAAATTTCCAGCATGAGGCATGTGGATCTGGGAATATTTTTTCTGATGAAGCATTCAGCCAACTGGCATTTTGTCCTCTACACCAGTCACCATTTTTCAATCCAGAGTAACAATTTGTTTAATTTGATCGTTCCTCAGAAGGCCCTACAACTTAAGTGACTTTATGAATCACTTAGATTTACTGCCAATTGCGGCTTATTGTTTTCTAATAACCATTTGTCCTTACTTGAGCACGCAGAGATTTTGGGAAGTATTTTGGCCTAGGTATTAGGAAATGAAAGAGCTACGCAATATCCAGGTGTAGCTGAAAGTGAGAGGTGTAAATGCAGAGAATCACACTGATGTTCTTCAGCATGGCATGAAATTGGAAAGAATTTAGCTAGTAAATTAGTCTTTTTTTTAAAAAAAAAGATTAATCTCTTGTAATAACACAAGTATTTTTATTGTTGTAAATTAACACAACCTACGCTTACTTTATCTTATCAGTGCTGAAGGTGCTGACGTAGCTGAACTCAAAGCACCAGCACATGCTTCTGCATAACCCAGCTCTCACTCAGGAAGTGGGCAGCCCACAAAGATACTCACGGACGTTGCAGCGGGCGCCATAGTACCCCGGGCGACACGCACAGTCACCAGTCACCGGGTGACATTCCTCATTCTCAGCAGAGCACTGACATACTCGGTTACAGTTCTTACCATATGTGCCCGGTGGACAAGCTTGGGGAAGAGGAAATGTAAACCAATAAATTAAATTTGTCTTGGTAAATATAGCACTCAAACAAAGAGCGAGCTCAAATTTATTAAATAAAATCCCTGCCTACAGAATGACACTCTCCTCCGGGACTTTGGATTTATTACATTTACTTGGGGGTTACTTCACTGCATGATTTTGTTTCGTTCAGTCAATTTGTGCCCAACTGTCAAGGGCCAGATACAATTTTCTTGTCACTAGAAAAAATCATAGGGAAATGTCAGGTAAAATTGACTAAAATAACAGCATAATTCGCAAGGGACCAGGCATGCGGATAAAGACATTCTGCCTTTTGTAGGGAGTTTAGACTTGCAAAGCTGCTCCAGCACCAACATCTTCACAGGTTTCATTTTGCCTGTTGACAGATACATTGCCTACAGGTTTTAGATGTTCCATGCCTAATTCTTACATTACTTCCATTAAATTGCCCTGGTTGTGGGTCAGGATTTAGAGTCCTTTAGTGGAGGATATGGGACAAAACCATCAATTTTTTTAATTCTTTGTTGTTTTTCTTTTTGCTAAAGCAGTGCTCACGCAAAACGTTGTAAGGAAGAACAAAGTCAAAATTATGCAGCCAGGGTGACAGAACGAGCCTGCTTTCAAAGAGAGCTCCACATGGCCAAACTCAACACTGAAGGAAAGATCATTATCTGGTTTTACATGAGCTCTGACAGCATGAATAGATGGTCTCTCACTGGAACTATGCCAACAGAAAGCAGGGCTGCTGATTTACCCACAGCACAGCGATGACGACGGGCAGGAGCTGGGCTCTGCTGGCACCTCCTTGGTCTATTTTGATGCAGTTTAGCCCCCAGCTGCTCCCTGCCAGCCTGAGAGCTGCAAATCTTGCAAGGGCAAACCCCACCAGCCAAACCACACCAGGAACAGAGGTCAAAACTGGCCAAGCCATGTGAATGAGTGACAAGCAGCCTTTGCCCATCATCACTGCTGTGAGGTTGTTGTCTCCTCCCTCTTCAGGTGTTATATTATCACATCTTTGAGAAATCAATTTCTTTCTTAATTTACAAGGGAAGTATTTGCATTCTTAGAACAAACTTACTTTTCTCGCAGCCGTAGCCGGTGAATCCCGGAGGACAGCTGCACTCACCCGTCAGGTGATGGCAGGGGGCACCTGCAGGACACCGGCACCGGTGGGCACAGCCTGTGCCGTAGCGGCCGGGCAAGCAAGCTGCAACAGAGCAACCCATCCTCGTTAGGGCATGGGGCAGGATGGTACAAAGCCACCCCTCTCCAACAAATCTGCTGCACCTGACCCCCTGAACACTTCCAGACCGACCCCACAGGGCAACAAGGGAGTGAAAGGATCCTGTCACCAGCTCTGGATCCGGCAGGAATGTATGCACTGACCTGATCTTTCCTCTGTAAATGCCCAGCAGACACTCACGTTTGTCACAGTGCCTCCCTCGCCATCCCTTTTCACAGTGACATGCTCCAGTTTGATGGTGGCAGGACAAGCCGTGCACGCAGCTACATTGCTCCTCGCACTGCTTGCCAAAAAATCCCGGGGGACAGACTGTGAGGAGAAGCAGAGAGAGCAACAGGTCTTCTTGCTGCATGGAAAGCACCCCTCACTGGCACATGAGCCAATATTGTTCTTCTTGCACATGGCAATGGATATTTAGAAGACTACATGCCCAGAAAACATCTTTGAAAGAGAATATATTAAAAATATTAAAAGCATTTTGTATTGGCTATTAATGAGTCTGCACATGAAAGTTTGCCAAGACTTAGTCATAATCTAGATTTCAAATCCCGATGGTGTCTATAGAAATGGCAGTGCCACTCTTACACAATTATGCACAGACAGAGGGACAGGTCTTTGAACAGTGAAAATACGCCGCGTCCATGTACTGATTTCCACCTCTCAGGTCTCTCCAAAGTGATCAAAGAGAAAGCACGCTGGTGGCTGAGGCTTTGTGAGTCCTCAGTACCTCAGGAGACATCAGCAAATTGCTCGTGTCTTGCAAAAATCACAGCACCTCAGTGGCCAAGCTGAAAGCAAGTTTCAAGCCATCTGATATCTACTGTTTATGAGATTTCCATTTCAGGGATTTACATGACTCCAAACACGCCAGACAGCTATGTCAAACCTGGGCGATCTGGACCACATGCAGGACTGGTGCAATTTGAACCATTACAGTCCAATTTGCTGAGGTCCCCTCAATCACCCACAGAGATGCAGCAGCATCTGGCAAACTTTCCTTACAATTCACTCCCTTTCATAGGTTCTTCCTTGTACCCATAAGGTAAAGAAATACCTTCATTTTGTTAGCAGGAAGGGAACAGAAGTAGGAGATAAAATGATTTGGACAAGGGCATGTATTTGTGGTTGGGCAGAGACCTGTCTGCAGGGCTCCTGAGACACATGGTCAGTGCTCACACTGGCATTATTTCTTATTGGCATACAGAATACTGGAAAATTAAGATACAAAATAGAAACTGACTTCATGCTGTGGAGACAGAACTGGCTGATTGCAGAAGAGTGTTAAAATCAAGCATCTGCAGAAGGAACTTACCAACATCACAGTGGTCCCCAGTCCAGCCGGCGTGGCAGATGCATTTCCCTGAGTGCTGGTCACAAACCCCATGGTGGCAGCTACAGTTCTGCTCACAGCCTGCTCCGTGCCTCCCGTCCCCACACTCTGAAATGAGATGGGGAGCCTAGGCTGGAGGGGCTCCAAGAAGAGCACACACTTACGGCTCCGAAGTATGGTGAGCCACCTAAGCTGTTCCTATAAACGTTCAGTGAGGGAGATTTTAAAGCCTCCGTTAACAAAATTCTCTAGAGATACAGTTTTCCTCTAGGTAGATTTATTTTATTATTTTTTTCTCCTCAAATTGAGTTCATTGTCTATCTTCCCTGTCCCCAAGGGACAGAGAACAGCTTATTCCTCTCCTTTGTCCTGCAAGTTTCTAGCACCCTAGTACATTCAAGTGCCAATGCCATATCTCCCCTCAGTCTTCTCATTTCTGATTAAACAATCCCTTTTTTTTTTTTCAACCTTTCCACAACTGATGCTCTCCAGCCCTCTGCCCCTCCTCTCCTTTTTTACTGAGCTGCCTCAAACCAGACCTCACCAGAACTGACATTCCTTGCAGAGCGACTGAAATGAGGTGCTGGAGGGATTGAGGATGTGATGAGACTCACCCAACTCACACGCTATCCCCGTCCAACCCTGGGGACAGAGGCACTCTCCCGTCACACGGTCACACGTCGCCTGGCCGTGGCAGATGCAGGGCTGCAGACAGTTCACACCATACCATCCAGGAGGACAGGCTGCGAAAAAGAGGTAGGACAAAACCCTTCCATTGAGAAGTGCAGGAGAAGGACACAGGTTAAACACAAACTTTCCCAGCTTACACCACTTCTCACCCTGGCAATTATGGAGGTGCTGTGAGAGGTACAACTGAGTGAAAACGGGGCTGTGACTGGTAAAGAATTACACAGACCAGTGTAAAACTGGTCTGGGAACAAAATAGGTGATGAAGGGAATTTACTATGACCCAACCAAATGGCCTCGAGGTTTTCTGTTCACAACTATGAGAAACATCTCTTGGTTCCTACCAGCTTTCTCAACACCAAGGAGTGGAATTATTGATTTTCCTATTTTCAGAATTTCTTTGTACAGTCCTCCCCAAAATCACAACTCCTTTATAATTGATCCTACTACCCACAGCTAGCTGATGACATATAACAGCTTACCTAATTTTAATTAAGCAAGTTTATGAATTTTCGTCACAACCAGATCCCATGGATAAAACTTTTATTTCTTTTTTCAAAAAAAAAAAAAAAAATACACACCACTCTTAGGTGCCAGAGTGGCACCTTTTTAAGAAGCTAGTGCAAGTTCTCACTCTGCAAAAACACAGCCACCAGAGGATGGCTCACCTACACTCTCTCACATGCTTATTTTACCTCCTTACTTCCAAAGAGAAAAGAAATCCCCAAATGTATCATTAAAGAAAATGTTTGACAATATCTTCATATTTGACAACAGCTTTTTAAACTTTTGCTTTGGTTTTGTATTTGAGGCCTTCATGCAAACCAGAAAATTTTATGTTGTGTTGTACACACATCATCATGAAGAACGGTTTGGTGCCTTTTCAACTTTTTATTCCTTCATGGAAAGAGCTCTTCATATTAGGTTTTAAAGTGGGACCCACTTAGTTCATATAACCCTCCACCCTGATCAGCTTTCATTCCCTTTCCCTAGCCATCCTCTCGGTACGCTGACAGGCAGCTGCTGCTCACGTGGAGGTGCTGACTCCAAACCCCAGATCACCCAGGTGCATCGGCAGCAGCAAGTGCCCCACAGCCCCACAACCCCAGCTCCAGGGCACTGCTTTTAGAAGGGGAGGCACAGAAAAAGGAGCCTTCTGCAATGGGGATGGACAGACTTTTTCTAGCAGCTTGGGTGCAGAGGATTAGGAGGTGTAACATAAGCCTCAGTGCAGCCTTTCTTTGCCAGCCTCTTTTCTTAAGATTTCTTGGAGTTAGGCTTGTGTTTGAGTCACACGTATTGGTCTAATTGCCAAGGCTGGAAGTCCCAATGCCTTTCACATGTTCTGGATTTAGCCTGTGTCTGGAACAGTGTATGGTAATGACGAGGATCAATCGGGCGCACGGGACGGTAAAGCAGGCCGTAGAAAAGAAAGAGTTTTGTTTCAGTGTCATAAATGGGAGCTTTATGGCCTTTTCTCCCTTAATCATACAGCCTTCAAAACCAGCTCTCTTTCCAGTTTATGACTGTTTCAGCCCCCTCTGCCCTGTGTACATCAAGCTCCTACACCCAACCCCTGCAACACGGCATCACAGATTTATTTAACGGACTGAGCGTGTTATTGTGTGGATAAAAAAAAAATCAGTGACAGCACAGGGAATGACCTGATAATTAAAATACCAGTGAAGCCCCCTGAGCAGAAGTTTTATCTTTCCCTCGTATAATCCTCCGGCAGGGGGTTGAACTTCCAATTGTACCTTCTTGGCACGTGGCTCCTTTCCACCCTGCTCTGCAAAGGCACGTCCCAGTTACGTGATGACAGAGCGCTCCGTTGTGACATTCACAAGTGTGGCTGCAACCTGGCCCATAGCTGTTCCCCTGGCAGGCTGCAAAGAGAAAAGTCCACAAAAACCCATCAGGAAGCATCAAAGGAGGCATCACACAGAGCAAACCAGAGATACAACCCAGTGCCAGAGAAATCAGTTTGAAACGGGCTTCTGACGACACACTTTTCACATCATGAGGGTGCCTAAGTCCATGAATTAACCAAGCCTGAGGGTGCCTAAGTCCATGTATTAACCAAGCCTGATGCTAAATAACATGGCTTAAAAATATGTATCATAGCATGTTTTGAAGAGTTTTTTATCAAAGGGCAGGATCGCTCAGGTGATGGATCAGCTGTCATCCCCTGCCCTGCGGAATGTCTTTGTGCTAAACTAATGGTCCAGCAGAACCGCCAGCTTGACAGCCTGGGTATTTATTTGCATCCTGGTAAGAGAACTGACAACTTCATTGGTTTTGGTGTTCATTTTTCACAGCTGAATGCCTTCATTCACCCACAGTCTCATTCTTTGGTCAGAGAGGGGTGATATTTTCAACACATTCGGTTAAGCAGCTGGCTCCCAGGTGAAAACTTAACACAGCCATCTCACAAATGTACACTTGCTGCAGCTCTGTTTTCAGTGTTGCTGCCTATGAAAAATGGCAGTGATAAAATTCCTGTAGTCTCCACTGCACTGGAGATTTGGATAGCTATAAATGGTGGAAACCAGACACTACTGCTACACTGTTTTCTTCAGATATCACACCAAAAATACAAAATAAGATGATGAAGTTGGATAGCCTCCTTGCACAGATTTTGTGCCTGCCTTGCAGAGGCTCGCCTTCACTTGTATGAAGCTGTCAGAGCCTCTCATTCCTGCAGTGCTGCTGGCATACATTGCAGAGGCAAAAAAAGCCCTGATTCCCTCATCCAGAAGAGTTTCTTGCACTTGCTGAATGTGACATCTCCCAGGATCAGACCCAAACGATGACTTTTCACCAAAACCTCTATGCCTTTGAGGGGGTCAGTGAGCAGGACAAGATGCAGTGCTGCAGTTGGACACACCTCTGGGTACCAACGGGAGGCGTGAAACCATCTTGACCTAAGGGGTGAACTTAGTTGACAGTATCTGATCCATTCCTAGCTCTTTTCTTCCCATCTGAGGAATTCCAGCTTCCCGACGCGGTTCTCACAGACACCATTTCTCCCAGGATTTCTTTTCAATAGCGTTGATTTTTGTCATCGCTTGGATCCCATCCACATTGAAACCACAAGAAAGTGCAGGAGCTCAGTCCCATCACAGTTAAAAGTTTGTTCTGCAAATGAGGCTTGATTGCCAAGTTAAAAGTTCAGCCCATCCGACAGAGCTCTGGCTTGGTTTTGGGAGCAGAACTAAGTATTTCCACAATACAGACCAGAACTATATCATAACCAAGCCAAAGGAAAAACCAGCTCATAACCAGGTCCCCTGACTGGTTACTAGTGGTTCGTGTGAGGTTTTTGGAGTATGCATGCGAAGCTCTTGTTGTGCTTACTGAGAAGACAAAAGAGTTTTCCAGTGAAAATTCTGGTAAGAAAGCAGAAATTTTTGGAGAAGAAAATTTTAATTATTCTATTGGGTGGACACAAACTTTTTTTAGTTTCTTGGTAGGACAGCCCTGGTTATCAAAGTACTTTTCTGAAGATTAAGACAACAAGTGATATATTGTGGCTATTTTATGAAGTTCCATAACTGAATGTACAAATATCCCTGAGCGTTTTCTCCTTTCTTCATCATAAGTGCAATGGGAAGCTGCAACAGAAAGGTTTAAATTATTAGACTCATTTCTGCTTCAAAATTTTCCTCTCGGTGCCTTTCCCCTGTAAGAGGAGGATTTATTCATTTGCAGTCCTTAAAATCCCTTTTTGCCCACAGAGTAAGGAACACATGAAACTGCAGATTTTCTTCCAGGCTGGAAGTCAACAGCCATCAGAAGTGTCAGGGAGCACAGGGAAATGATGGGCACTAAGACTCTATAGGGTGCCCAGAAGCTTTGATTTTGTGAAGTTCCTTTGGATTATTGCCCCCCAAATGAAACTTTGTCTTTAAAAGAACAGTGAATTTTCAAAGCCAAGTGATCACACACCACAAATTGTCAAACGCCTGGTTATCAGTGCCCCTGAGCAGAGACTCTGGCAAAGCCAATCCTTCCGTACTCATTTATTTTGTAAACCAGTGTGGTCTATTTTTTTTACCACAAGGAACTGCTTCTGTGAAGATTGTGCTGAGGCCCAACAGCTCCAGAAAGAGGTGTTTTTAATACTAATAGAATCAGGGCAAAATACAGATGATGAATCATGTTTGGCTTCTACAGACCATATGCAACATGAGATTTTGGGGGTTTGGGGTTTGGGTTTTTTTAAGACAGCAAAATTTGGATGCGTCTGTATACAGAAAGGAAGGTTATATCTCTGGCACAAATTGATGCCAACTGTCAAGTCCTCACTTCTGTATCACTGAGGCATCACAACACTCAATTAAACAGTTTATTTAAAAACAACAACAACAAAAAGGCAACATACTCTTCCTAAACCTCTTTCTTGGAAACCTAAAATATCTCAGGCGGACACTCAAAAAAAACCCCAAAATAAAAAAATCACTAAAAAAAAACTTAAGCTGAAGCAGAGCTTGCTTGGCAGATTTCACCCCAGATTAATATAATTCATTTACAAGCAATTGAAAAACACAGTCTTGTAATGGAAAGCGGTAGGCAGCTTCAGCAAAAGGCATTACTGTCTGTATTGCCCATAATTAGATAGCAGCATATAAAATGCACTGCATGGTCAGCTTAAGATCGATTCAAATCCCATGATGTCAAAATTATTTCTCAATATCCTCCAGCACATTGCCTACAATCTGATTACTTGAACACTAGTGCTGTCCTTCCAGCTGCTAGAGCTGGCAAGTCCCAGGAACCAGCAAGGTGAATATTAAACATCCAACAAGGATGGGGAGTGGTGAGCCGGCATCTCCAATCCATGGTTGCCTTACTCTAAGCAGCTTTGGACAGCGTGGCCAAGGTCCAGTCTTAAAATCAAAATGAAGATTCATCGTTTAGCCAAGAGAAAAGGAGGTTACCCTTTGCACTGTTAAGTGACCTTGCTCTTTTACTTACAGGCAAAGGAGACCTCGGGGGCTTTGGCATCTTCTCCAGAGTGAGGAATAAATCAACATGGCATAAAGCTCTAATGGCTATGGCACAAGAGAATAAATAGAGGGTTTTTTTCTCATGCAATTAGAGGGGGGCATAGAAGACTATTGACAAAGAGCTGCATTTCTTAATTGGATTCAATGAAATATGTAGGAACAAATCTTCCCATCCTTAATGCAGTCTAAGGAGCGGGGAAGGGCCAAGGTGACACACTCCTAACACCGTGGTTTGGCTGAAGGGCAGTAAAAGTGGGCTGTGACCAAGCAGCAAATGTTGTCCCTGCACAGCAGCACCTTCCCTGCTCTATGGTATGGCTCTATGGCTCTGGCTCTGCATTTATTTCACACTTAGCTCATTAACCTACACCCACAGAGGAGTATCACCACCACCATCTTCAGGTGGAGGGAGATGAAGAGCCAAGTGTCCCTATGGGGGTCATGACGAGGCAAAAAGGACTACAAATGGTGGGATGGTTGCAGAAATATCTAAAAAGTGGAAAGATTCACCAGAATTAACCCTCCTGTAAATCAAAAGAGCAGGAGATTTTGCAGGAGAAGCCCTTTCAGAAAACAGGTTGTGTTGTGTGATGGAAGCAAATGCTGGAAAAATATTATGAAGAAAAAGTCCAGCCCTCAGACAGGGCTGATTATAACATGGTGTACAGCTAGAGAATAGAATTATTTCTACATAAATATAATTTATCTCAATTTTCTAAACTAAATTATTTTCTATTGCAGAAATCTACAGCCTATGGATTAAAGAAGTTTTACAAAAGAGTTCACTAACAATGAAAGTTGGCTCCTTGTGGAGCTGCTTTGGATCCCAGCTCTACAACACATTCCTGCAGACGACAGTCATATTTTCAAAAGGAAGTACAGACCATGACATCATCCTAAAATGAAACTAGGAAGTTGAGAGGCTAAAACCTGAAGATCTTAAAAACCCAAACATATTTGCTAAATTTTGCAAATAGGCTCAGTGATCTCCATATGTAATGCCATGTAGCTAGAGAACATAATTTAATTTCCCATGAAATGTAGTGACCAATTTGTCAGAAGAGCCAATTTTATATATGCATTCACACAAACATACAAAAAAATTTATTAGCTTGAAGACTGTGGGATAATCCATACTTATGAAACTCTAGGAAGTTGTAGGAATTTGACCCTCTTTTTAAAACAAATAACTTTTCTGGGAATTACTTAAAAACCTATTTTGTCACATTCAAATAGCAAAATAGTCCCAGCTCTGATTTTTCCACTTTTTGCATTTGTAATCTGTCACTTTACAACTGATAATTAGATTAGATACACCAGAGAGAGAGAAACACAACATTTCATCTCTTAATATTGCACAAAACCAAAAAGCAGAGATTTGTCATGTGGTAGCAGACAGCTCTGCTATTTAAAAACTGACACTTATAATATCTGACAAGTGCCAACAGCAGTTTAAAAAAATTTAAAAAAAATTAAAAAAAAAAAGAAGTTGCTTATTTACACAGCTACCAAAAATGGTTCTGTCTTTTTGGCATCTTTGGAAAGGAATGTGACCTATCTAAATCTGTACCCTGGTAGGTCATCCCACAGTCCAGCAGACGCCCATGTGAGCAGGGAAGGGGGCTCGGGCCGTACGTACGCTGCTCGCAGGTCTCTCCCAGCCAGCCCGGGAGGCAGCGGCATGTTCCCAGGACGTGGTCGCAGCCAGCAGCATTCTTGCACTTGCACACCTGGTGGCAGTCAAGCCCAAAGAATCCATCTGGACAGGCTGAAAATGCAAAATATTCATTTTGAGCAGAGTCCTGTTTCTTTTATTTTGTATAAAGTCTAGCTCGGAGATCTGAAAACACGGGGCGCTGCTGTCACATGGCAGTCTGTGACCACGCTGAAGAGCCAAAGCTGCTTCAAGGGTTAAGCCTGCACAATTCCGCTACGTGCATCTCAGAAAAACATGACTCACTTCACAAAAGTAACAGATTTCTGCACAGAAAAACACAGCTGAGAATGTTGAAAAGCCATAAAACAGGAGAGAGAATGGATCTGGATTGGCACAAGCCAGTACTTGTGCTTCTTTAATGGACAGAGGAAAAAGGAAATAATTCAACATAATGCAAGACTACGGGGCCATCCCTGCTGATCTCCCTGCCTTTTGAAATGCAAAACTTAGGCTCACATTTACTCTCCTGATACTTTTATAAAGATTTTTTAACAGTGAACATAAGCCATAATGTAGTTCAGTGCTGCAGTGAAAACCTGGCAAAGTGAATGAGTAGAGAAAACCAAGACAAATTAAATGTAGCTGAACAACTCCAGGGAGCTTAAGGAGCTACATCCAGGACATGTAAGGAAGAACATGGATTCAATTTACATCTGTACCAGTGCTGACAGCAGTGAAAACAAGCCATCGGTACCTGTCAGTGGGCCACTTTATACCCAAAATGCTGCATTACAAGAATGTTTAGGCTGCTATGCAGAGTTAAGAAAAAAAAATAATTATGTTGTCTATATAGCCTTAATTTAACCTCTCTGTCCGCATATATGTGTGTATGTTTAGACTATAAGTACCTGCATAATTATGTTACACTAAATGATAATAAATCTGTAGATATACAACTGTATGTCATTCCTTCCAAAGAACCCCTGAATCACTCAGTTGCAGGGGCACTGGTACTCATTAAATGAGAAGTTATTCATTAAAACAGCTCTGTGTCCTCCTTGTTCAATATAAATTTATATTTAAACTCCAGTCCTCGTACTTCTACCATGAAATCAAAGCAACTCGCTTCCCAATAGTCTTATGACGATTATCGTCATATTCACTACCCAATGACTCTCCACATTAATTTCACAGCTCTCCATCAGGTCAGAATAACACCATTATTCATAGGTATCTTCCACTCTTGGATTCTTCTTTCCCTTTTCTTGCCCTGTGTCTTTTCACACTCAGGTTCTTTTGTCCCAGCCTACTCATACTGCCTCTTCCACAAATGTAAATTCAGCTCTCTAGCAGAAAGCACTGCTGTCTGCTTTGGCTACGAGAAGAAGTTCATCATCCGTAGATATATGCAAACCTGGACCTTCAGACACCGATGGCAGCGGTGTAACACACTGCCACATCTGCTTTGGCTCCTCTACTATAAGAGCTCCTGCTCAGCTTGTGACTACATATGATTGTTTCATCTACTCAAAATCAAAAGGCTGCTCTTCCCTTCATTCTGTCCAGACAGCAGCTCCTTCTTTGGCATAAGATAGATTTCAGGCTTACACCACTTTCCAAGTATGTGCTGTTTCTGAAAAACAAAGAAGTGCCTCATACCAATATAAAATTGTAATGCATCCATCAGCCTCTGTTCAGTTTGTACTGGGGAGAGAGCTGTTATCAAGTTGTAAGGAAGAGACATCAGCATGTGGTTTCAATCTTTATGTCCTTATTTATTATGCTTCAGTAGCGTGTATGGCACAGCACACAAGAAAGGACTTCTCCTACTTAACCCTAGGTGACTTCAAAGGCTGACAAAGTTTTTCTTTGTTTAATGCGGGGACTACACAGCACTGTCAGCTATTCCTAGACATGCACAGTATTTATTTTTCCCTTTTATCCTATTAAAACAGAAATCTTGCTGTGCTATCTTATGATAATGACTAACTGCTGAAATCCCAAGAGAGAAGCCCAGTCGGTCTGTCCTGTGGCAGTGCTGATTTAGACAGCAGCTCAAATGCAAACCAAGTGCTGCACTTTGCAAGGGCTATACGTTGCTGTTATTCATGCATCAGTTAATAAACATACTGTAGGAAAAGTCCGAGACTCCTGCTGCCTCCAATTTGTGGGATAATTGTGTGGCATTTTGGGATGTTTGGTCAGCTTAAGCAGTGAACTGGATAATTCTTATGTTGGCCTGATCCTGTAACTGGACACATGCCTTGAGTCATACAACACATACCAGAGCAGCAGGGAACAAAATTAAACAAAATTATGGTGCAGTGAAGACAATCGCAACCTTCAAAGCGGGAGCAGCAGATGCCCAGCACTTCACAGAATGAAACCAATTATAACAATTGCCTTCCCAAAGAGGAGCGGAGCAGCCCCGTGCAGGGCGGGGTGACCTGGCCCTCTCAGCCTGGCACAGCACACTCCTAACAGAGCTGCAGGCACGGCCAGTGAACTTTGGCTTTGCTGGGGGGGTAAGTGGGCTGCCTGACATCAGAAGCTTCCCAGGTTTCCTGAATGTCAGATGTTAACATTTCTTTGAACAAAGCATTGATATATTTAGCTATTTATTACAAGAAAGATAGGTTTGGGGGTTTGTGTTCGTGGGGTTTTTGTGTTTTGTTGTTTTACTTGCCTGTTCGGCTCTAAGTGCATTAAAACTAAAGCTCTGTAGCAGTGGGTGATCACAGCAGGTGTCTTTTCTGGAGAAAATGCTACTTATATTATCTATGTTTTAACAGGATAAAGGACTTACAAAGCCATTTTTTTGCTATGATTGCTGCCTTTGCACAGTCCGGGAATGCAGAGGCATTAATTACTGCTTCAGTTCAGGAACAGCCAGAACCCCACATGTGCCTCCAGGCATGTAGCATTCTCCTCTCAGATAGGAAAGATATCTAGAGGCAGTGCTAGTGGCAACACTCTCAAGAACCACCAATAATGACTCCTTTTCCTTTGGTAATGCTAGACCTTGAAGAAATACTGTATGGTTCTTCACAAGTGTTCTAGTTGTATCACTTTCTGCTTTGAAGAAAATGCAAAGGAAGCCTTTCCTATGTTGTTCAGATGGCCTGTAAGATTTCTCAGAGATTGTTTTCAGGCTTATTTGCAAATGTTAGCCACTTTGCCACTGAAACAGTTCTGCTCCTTTTGCAGCTCTTCAGAGAGAGTTACAAGATTCACAAGGTTCATTTTTTCCAATGGACTGAGCAGAGCTGAAGGATGGAGCCGGCACGTAACACCTTCAGAAATGTCTAATTTTGTATCTGAAAGTGGTTTGATAGCTTTATTCTTACCCATTATGTGATCATACCACTACTGGACAGGCAGCCGTAAGACTGAACGATACCAGATGGAGATGAAGACCAGCTGAATGAAACTGATGCAGAGCAGAGCAGGACTGAGATGTTGATTCACAGACAAAAGTACTTTGAAGAGTGTGAGGTCTCTTGGCAGCATCCTGTTGCTGAGGGCACAGAAGTTCGGTTAACTGCTGAATAATTCACAGCAAGGTCTCACGAAACAGCAGCCTGGAACAACAGTATCTCCTGCTACTGGTTAGCCTGGAAACTGTCCTGTGCTGGTGGATGATGATGACGTGGCTTTGGCTGCTATCCCTATTACTGACAGGTGATGTATGTAGGTACATAATTTGCACTAAATATTGCAAGTATCTTCTGGGCCACCACCTTCATGCTCTTTTTAGAGAACACCGAAACACATACAAGGTCTCAGGTTATACCTCCAAAATACTTATGTCCAAAGAATTGAACGATTTGCCTTGATTCAGTTAAAATTGAAATATGAGTGAAGCATTCCCCCTGCCTCAAACCCGTGACACTCTCAGGCACAATGGTGCTTTTCCCTTAGGTTGGCTGTCTCGCCAGGGGATGAGCATTGGTTACTGGTCAAAATGATGCAGCTGATCAGCTGGTAACATGACTGCTCAAAATGACAAATAGAGACTTGCTTCACTCAAGTGCCATAAATCCTCCAAGAACTTTCTACAGTTGCTAGCGCGCATCCACAGAGGCAGAGCAAGCTGGATAAGCCTGGCTCACTTCACCATAAGGAGAGATACTACAAAAGTCCAATGTTGAGACTTAGCAAAGGCTTAGATTACATTAACAATGCTAATAATAAGAAAAGATTATGCAAATTTGTGGCAAATGAAGAAAATGGCCACTGAAGTGGTGTTTTGCAACAGGGACTGGCATTTAAACCTAAGAAGCCCTACTTCATACTGAAAGAAGTAAATTAATGAAAAGGAACAGCAGTAATTTGTTCCTACCTGAAAAAATAAAACCAATTTCAAAAAAAACTCAAAGGCAAGTTTTGGGACTTGCATAATTTCATCTTGAATCTGGATCCCATACTGCCACATTGCAAATTACCAGAAGCAATGACTGCAGGTTCAAACGCCCCCATTGTGCAGGGGTGATATTAATATTAATGATAACAATTAATCAACATTACATTTTGTAAGGTACTCTATTTTCCTAGGACTTTGAACTTAAGAAAGCTGCAAAAGTTTTCACTTTCAACATTTTTGTGATGATGGAAAAGTCCTTCCCAGCCCTGGGACGAAGCATCAGCAGTATGTGAGAAGTCCAAGGCAATTCAGCTGCGCCAGGTCTCAATCTCTATGTTCTTGTCTGCAAGGCTCAGAGCTTGGCCAACGTGGGTGGACTGCCAAGAGGACGGCAAAAAGCACATCCCTGCCAGAAGGAAACCCTGCCAGTCTCCGAGTCACTAAAAACAGAAGTGCTACAGCTCCTCAGAGAAAATGTGCCAAGAAGGTTCTACCAAGGGCAAACCACCTACACGTTTTCCTCCCTCTTCATCTTTTGGAAGCAGCCAAACTGTTCTGGCTGAAACCTTCTATGTGAGAAGGTAACACAGGTCAGCTCAGAGCAAACACCCTGCCTGCCTGAGAGAAAACATGTACAAAACAGGGTTTTATGTATAGTAAGTGCTAAATTCAACTCTCCCTTCCACAATCTTCTTTCAGGAATTTAAAAAGATAAAAATGTCCAACATGACTGGTTTGGAAACTGAGACTTGGTTTGGTTTTTGGGTGTTGGTTTTTTTGCTTGGTTGGTTGTTTTGTTTTGTTTTGTTTTTTTTTTCCAGCAGACATCACTCAGGCTTCTCCATATTCCTCACACCTACTTTGGTGAAAGATATTTAGCCTCTTTGTCCCCATTTTTATTCCTGCTGGAATGAACAGATTTATACCACAACACAGATAAGTGTATAGCTTTTCCAATTATAAAAAAGAAAGAAAGGATAAAACTTATGAAAACGGAGTTAAAGTAAATCATTTTAAAAAGAGACACAGTGAAGATACCATAAGCTATGAGGCACACTTTGCAGCAGAAGCCTGAGAATAGTATTTATTTTATGTAATAATTCCTGATAAGAATGAGAGAGAAACAACAGGCACTCTCTGAACTCGTCACTAGTAAGGCTGTGGAGCATCTCCCTTCCCATGAGAGGGCAGTAGCTGCCTGCGAGTGCTGCCTCCTCCCTCTATCGCAGCTGTAACTCTACCTTTGTAAACTGGGTGATAAAGCCACTTTCTAAGCAGAATAATTGTGACTTCGGGTTAATTTGCAGAATCTTCAATCATTTACACTTAAATAACTTTCATAATGTCTGACTCACTGTGTGCTGTTTCTGTTCAAGGCCTTTTTATGATGTGCACAATGATGCAGCACAACAGCAACCTCCTTAGATGATGCCACAGACTGACTTAATAACGTTTCTGAGAAATCCAGTCCAACCTTTCCAATACTTTACCAAATGTTCACGTAGTAGAAAATGATCTGTTGGATTTATTAAAGCTAAGAGTTCTTTTGGGAAGGTGCATGGATCCTTGTTTTTCTCTAAAACATTTCCGAGATGCCCTAGGAACGAGCAAGTGTAAGGCAGGACACGTATCTTTCTGATCAGTGTTCAAACAGTAGGACTTTGCTTAAAAGGAGAGTCTTCCTAAAGATGTGATATAGCAGGAGTCTTAAGCATGTATCTACTTTTAACCACATTAAAACATATGCCCAGCACTAGGCACCCAGCGAAATGCCTTGCTGAGTTAGGATGGAAGCGCACATTTCAGTATCGTCTTCCAATTAAATTCAATGGTTTATTTAGATCAGGTGCTGTAAATTGTAAAACCAGCTCTCTGCATAGAAAAATCCATCTGCATAAACCTGAAAGGGACCAGAGGGAGTAGCAGTACCTCTTCCACAAAAGGTCCCCGTCCACCCCGCCGTGCAAGTACAGGCTCCGCTCACGTGGTCGCAGGCAGCTCCGTTCTGGCACTGACAGCTGTACTCACAGCTCGGGCCAAAGCTTCCCTCAGGGCATCCTGCAGCGGAGGAATCAAAACCAGATGATGGGTTAATTCTGGAGCAGATCAGGGATCAACAGTGAATTTTTAGATACATGGGAATTCTTACTATTTGCAAAAGAATGAAGGCATAATGGTAACGCATTAAAATTGATGCGATTAAGCGTTCTTCTTGGGGTCCAGGTAAGCTGGGCTGTTTTTATTAAAGTCTATTTAGAAAAACACTAAGGTACCGAAAGACTAAATTCTGCAGAGAAAGCTACTACCATCTGACAATTGCAAAGCCTGTGACTTCACAGGTTCTGCTTGATGACACTTTGCACACTGGTCTGGAGTTGCTTACATGCACAACTCCTCTGGGACTTCATCAAGTCAGGAGGGGGAAAGCTCCCAGCTTCTGCATCTCCTTTTGAGGCCCTATCCTCTGTTTTCCTGCAAATCCTCCCTTCTCCAGAAAGCTGGAGGAAATACGAAATGTGGTGGCTTCTTTCCGAAAGCTCCAAGCTGATTGCTGCATACTTTACTTTCAGGCTCTGCTTTGAAAAATACAAGTGAAAACATTACATCTAGGGGACAGATTAGCAATTACATTTCCACAGCAATTAATGTAAGGAGTTTTGAAAGATTTGCATGGTACTCACTATCAGAAGAAAGAAAACAACACTTGAGAATGAAAATAATTTCTTCCAGGATTATAGGAAAATCAATTAAGAATAGGGCCAGTTGCCTAATTCACATTAGATATTTTGGACAGGCTGAACTAGAGATATACTTGGCTAACACAGTATTACAGGGTCTGTAGTCATGTTTGAAGGTCTTGTGAACTTCCCTCTAAATGAGTTATGTAGATTATTGCCGGATCTCTTTTAAAAGAAGTGTATGATTTTATCATTCATAACAACAAAGTGATTTTTCAGGCAATCTGCAAAGAATCACAGAGAACAGAAAACGATGAGGATCCTCAAGGACAACTCTATGTTTGGAATAGAGGGATGGGTTTGGTGCTACCTATTTGGTACCACAGCTGGGCAGTGATCAGAGACAGCGTGAATTCGGTTGCTCCTGCAGCTTAGTGACTCTACTAACTGGAACCAACCCCTGGGTCTCTAAGAGAAGCTGTAGGTTAGGATGGGAGACCTTAAGTATTTCTTTGCTTTTAATCATCTGTGTCAGAAAATGGGCCATTGTTAAAATGTGGAGCTGTTTCAATGTATTTTTTGCACTTACAGTTGAAATTCAGACCCCAGGTTGAATTGGTGCAAAATCCCACTTGCTTCACCTCCTGTTCCCAAAGCTGCAGATCATCGTGCATCATGCCTCCTACACTAGTTTAACAAGTAAATACACAGAAGTGCACTTATGCCTTAAAAGCTTGACCCTGCTCAGTGTTTACTTTTCACTTGAAATTTCAGTCAGAGACCAGAGAATCTATGCAAGGAAAACAGTATTCCAGTGCAGTAATAGGTGTGGGGCTCTCAGCTGAGCTTTCTTCAGACCTGCGGTGTTTAGCCTGGAGCTGAGACTTTCAAGGTGATGGCAATGGGTCAGTACACTTCACAACTGATTTCACAGTCCACATCACAGAGAATCTGCCCCCTGCTCAGAGGCGCAGGCTGCTGCAATGCATGCTGAGATACATCCACCCTGCCGGAGAACCTGAGCTGCCTGCAAAGCCACAAAGGGAAAGGGCCCGACCTGCAGCAAGAGCCTAGACATGCCCTGGGAGCAGAGGAGCTCTCCAGGGATAGTAAAGATCTTGCCTCCAAGGCAGCATAAAATGTTTAGGGAAGAATTATGGTTTTCATAATCCTGCACACACAGATATAGATGTATATATGTGCATTTTTATATACATATACATAAACACAATTAAAGCAGGATAAAAAGCAGACTGAATAAAACAGAAGACCCCTAGGCAGAACATTAAGGGTTGACTGATGTTTTGTTGGTGGCAACGGCTTTACTGATTACCTTGCCAGAGAAGACAAAACTGAGCTATTTGGCTACTTTTTGTCTGCAGAGATGCTGTTTTGAGAGAGGTCAGGAGGCAAAGAGAAGTGGAGCTGTCAGCTCTTTCTCTGGGAGCTGGTCTTCCCTACTAACTCTCCTTCCATTCCCTCTGTGCCAACAGCAACAAGACCTGTAAGATCAATTTTCCAAGGTTTTTGTCTTAGGTCACCATTCCAGATTAATTGTTCTGACATTTCTGTGTGACAAGCAGTTAATTCTGTCTATGCCACTGAGATTCTGGTAGCTACATCTGTGCTACTGTAAGACTGTTAAACTAATAGATAAAATATTTATTTAACAACATCTATATAATCACAGAATCATAGAATGGTTTGGGTTGGAAAAGACCTTAAAGATCAACCAGTCCCACCCCCCCTGCCCCGGGCAGGGCCACCTTCCACCAGCCCAGGTTGCCCAAAGCCCCATCCAACCTGGCCTTGAGCCCTTCCAGGGAGGGGGCAGCCACAGCTTCTCTGGGCAGCCTGTGCCAGGGCCTCACCCCCCTCACAGGGAGGAATTTCTTCCTTATGTCTAATCTAAACCTACCCTCTACTAGTTTAAAGCTGTTACCTCTTGTCCCATCCCATATCCCTACTCTGATCAAGAGTCCCACCCCACCTTTCCTGTAGTCCCTTTAAGTCCTGGGAGGCCGCTCTAAGGTCTCCCCAGAGTCTTCTCTTCTCCAGCTGAACCCCCCCAACTCTCTCAGTAAGTCATCATAAGGGAGGTGCAGCCCCCTGATCATCCTCGTGGCCTCCTCACTCCAGCAGGTCCGTGTCCTTCTGCTGTTGGTGCCCCCAGAGCTGGACACAGCGCTGCAGGGGGGGAATCTCACAAGAGCAGAGTAGAGGGGGAGAATCCCCTCCCTCCCTCCCCTGCTGCCCACACTTCTCTCGATGCAGCCCTGGACATGGTTGGCTTTCTGGGCTGTGAGCACACATTGCTGGCTCACAGTTTTCCATCCGCTAACCCCCCCAAGTCCTTCTCCACAGGCTGCTCTCAATCCACTTGTCACCCAGCCTGGATTTGTGGATGGCATTGCCTCAAGCCATGTGCAGGACCTTGCCCTTGGCCTTGTGGAACTCCATGAGGTTCATGCACGGGCCCCCTCTCCAGCCCGTCCAGGTCTCTCAGGATGGATCCCTTCCCTCCAGCGTGTCAGCCACGCCACACAGCTCGGTGTCATTGGCAAATGTGCTGAGGGTGCCTCGATCCCACTGCCCATGTCACCAGCAGAGATGTTGAACAGCGCTGGCCCCAGCACACACCCCCAAGGAACGCCACTCGTCACTGCTCTCCACTGGGACATGGAGCCACTGACCGCAACTCTGAGTGTGACCATCCAGCCAATTCCTTATCCGCTGAGGGGTCCATCTGTCAAATCTGTGTATCTCCAATTTAGAGAGAAGGATGTCATGTGGGACAGTGTCAAATGCTTTCCACAAGTCCAGGTAGATGACATTAGTTGCTCTACTCTTATCCACCAGCGCTGTAACCCTGTTGTAGACGGCCACCAAATTTGTCAGGCACGATTTGCCCTTAGTGAAGCCATGTTGACTTCGACACATAATTAATGATAATAATTATAGTGATAATAATAATAGCAACTTAACTGTGCAACTTATTACCATAAGATGAAGAGGATACAAAATGTTTGCATGGAATCAAAAAGGAAATAGGCACAATAACTGGGGAAAAAAATCAAGTTGTGTTAAATATAGAGATACTGTTTCTGTCTCAAGAAGTTCCCGAGCGACAAATTGATGAAATGTGGGGAAACATATCAGGAATTATCTATATGCCTGTTTTTATCCTCTTAAGGCATCTGCTATTGACCTCTGAGACAGATTAGTGGAGATCACGGCCTCTGGTAAGACCACTGCGCATTTTTGTTGTTAATAAATTGAGGATCCTAAATCTTCCTGATTTTGTTTCTGTTATGTACATGTGAAGCATTTCTATGTGCCTGGCTTTAAAAACAAGATTTATGAAGAAAAGTGTGGACTTAAAACTGGATAAATAAAATCAATATGGAAACTTTCATGCTGCAAGCCAAATATACATCAATCCTATCACTCACACAAGGCCTTAACATTAAAAATAGCTGTTGAGTCCAAAACAAGTCTGAAAATAACTTTTCTGGAATCCAAATTAGGGAAACTATCTAACCCTGATGAAACCCGAGAGCCCTGCGACGCGCTGGGCAGACCGGAGGCAGTACAGCCTGGAGGTCTTCCTGGAGGGAATTATCAGGAAAAACAATTTCCGCTGCTGGGTTCTGCAAACTCCCTGTGTTGACAAAGAGGCAACTTACTCCATTCACAGTGTTTCCCAGTGAACCCTGGCTCACAAAAGCAGGAGCCGGTGATCGGATCGCAGCTACCGTCGCTGTTATTGCAGACACACATGTTTTCACAGCGCTGTCCCCAACGACCGCTATCGCAGGCTGCAATGTAAAGCAGTATTTGCATTGAGAATGAACTTCAAGCCCGGCTAATAGGTTATTTTACATCTAAATGAGAGAACAGAAAAGATGCAAAATGGCTCCTTAAAATACAGGCACTCTAGACTAGACTCTCAGCTGCAGCATGGGGCACAAATCAATGGAAATAAATACAATTTTTGCTGATTTATTTCAGCTGAAAGTCAGGGTCCGTAGGCAGATATTATGCCATCCACATAAAACTAATCAGTCATAGTCAATCCATATCAATCAATCCACAGTCACAAACGCATAATTTCATGGAAATAAAATATCAGCTATTGACTCACTTAGCAAAAATCTGCATAACTAGAGTAGCTAGTGGGTAAAACAAGACAGATTTGTGAGCATCCTTCAAATTTTCCTTGAAACACTGGGAAATGCAACATGGACACAGACAGAAATCTCATAGTCTTTGTTAAAGCAACTTACTGCTTTCATTCTAAAAATCACATAACACCGACACGATTACGACAAGGTACCAGAGCTGAAGCACAGCATCTCCTTCCCTTCTTGTAAGGATAAAGATGAAAGTGCCAATTAGGGGAACAGAAACCTGGTTTTGGAGTTGGGCATCTTTTTCATGGCCAGTCTGCAATAGTTGAAGAGCTGCCTTACTGAAGAGAATTCTCTGCAAAACAACTGTTCTTATATCTTTTCCTGAATAGAAATAAAAGCTGGTTTGTTTTTTTTTTTGCCATGGTCTCTTAATTCTTTAGGCAGCCTAGGGAGTTACAGAAAGCTATCTAAATGGCTCCACACATTACCAACTGGTTTGATTTTTAAAATACACATATTGGTGGAAACTTCAGATTTTCCCAGTTTTCTTCAGTACCAGGTCTGAGAAGCCAGGGCCAAAACTTACTGCTGTCAACACTGGCAATTATTTTAAATGATTTTATGTGTTTAAGGCCAAGTTTAGAAGGAGGTTTGTATTCCATTGGGGTTTTGGGGGGGTTTTGGGTTATTTTTTTGCAAGAGGGATCATAATGAATCAAGCAGAAAAGACATGAAACAGAAAAAGGAAAGAATTAAGCAGGATGGCTTAGCATTTATATGGCACTACCCAAAAAGGGCAAATCTGCACTCTTACACAGCCATCAATATGGAGAGTGATGCTAAAGTCAACAGCAGGACGCCCTGCTCTTCCAGAGAACAGCATTTCTCTCAGCATTTATATTCACAAGTTAAGAAGTGACCTTAAGACACATGATGGTACGTGCCACTCACTTGTTGAATAAATCTCCCCTAAACAAAATGAAAAATTGAGAATTAATCTTGAAACTAATCTGCACTGAAAATGAAAAAACAAAACTGTCTGTCAGTCAAGATGTTGACAGGACAGATGGTACTGGGCAAAGGGATCCATAGTGTTGAAATAAGAGCTTATATCAATACTTTGCGCTTCATCAGCCACCTATTTCAATACTTTGAACCTAGATAATTAAGGATTATAACCACCCAGGCTGTGCAAACCCATAAACACACAATTTCAGAAGCAATAAGATTAGCAGAAGTATATTAAAAAACTGTAATAGACTAAGAACAAACAGAGCTGGTTCTTACATTTGCAGTTACGTCCCTGGGAGATACCATGTGCCCTGTAGAGCGAATATGCATTTGACTTACCATGTTTGCAGTCATGGCCAGTCCAGCCAGGGGGACATGTGCACTCTCCAGTGATGTGGTGACACTGAGCACTGCTGCTACAGCTGCATAACAGCAGGCAATTTTGTCCATAGTAACCATCGGGGCAGGCTGAAAACAAGATGAGCAGACTGCAATTTCACCGAGGTAATAACTCGGGCACGGACTGATCTTTTCAAACAAGACAGCAACAGCTTGCCCCCTAAAACATGCATTAGCTGAAGCCAGAAATCAAAATGGCAAAATAAAAGAAACATGTGTAATTTGTATACTAGGTGTCTGGGACTGAGTCCTGTAAAGTGGGAATAGCTTGAGTGACTTTGGGGTACTCCTCCTGCACATCAGGATCCATCAGTGGAAGAAAAAAAGAGAGTGCTGAGCAAACCTAAATTAAAAGCGATTTTGTGACAAAGAAGGAGAAAAACTATGCCACCACTGAGGTTTTGCACGTCCCTGAGAGCCTGTCTGTGCCACCACAACACCCCTACCCGAGCAGCCTTTGATAGCCAGAGGCTGGATAAGGAGCTGTGCCACAGGAGCACAGACCAGTTGCTTGAGCATATTCCCATGGTCTCTGGCAGATCTGCAGAGGTAGCACTGGTACTACTCCTTCATCCTCACTACTGTTTAATCCTAAATTATATATGTCAAGGAGTGTTGCTGCAAACATAACACAAGAGTGGTGCTGTACAGGTCAATTGGTCAGCACCTCTTGCCAAACAACCAGGATTACAAAGCAAGTATTGTGGCTATTAAATGGTATTTTTAAGCACACATTGCCATAAACTAGGCATAATGATAACATCGATTTGGGATGCAGTTTAGCTGGTCATCTGCATTTATCTGTAATCTCCCTCTGGTAAATAATGTCAAACCCAACCTGGGGAATTCCTGAAGCTGAATTCCTTTGCCTTGGACCAGTGTGTCTCACATACCCAGCATTCACAAAACAGAAATCAAACAGACTTTCTTTTCATGGGGAAGGCTGATGTGAGGACTTACATGCAGAGCAGGATGCCCCAGTGTAGCCGGGGGGACAGTCACAGGCTCCAGTTTCTCTGTTGCACTGGCCCCCGTTGGTGCAGGGCTCACAGGAGAACTGGCAGTCTGGTCCCCACCAGCCCGCCGGGCAATCTAGGGAAAAAAGCAGTGAGATGTCCCCAGTGCCATTTTCTGTTTCCAGACAGTTACAGATTTCTGCTGTTACTCTGAAGAATCTAAAAATAATAGTAAAACTAAGCTGGATTGTTATATTATCTCTCCAGACCTACAGCACTGTCACAGTAAACTTTTTGAAAGAGTCAACACACCTCTGTACTGCAGCACATGAGAACGCATCTAAAGAGAGATACAAAGGTTCTCTTCTGACTTTGTCGTGGTGCATCTGTTTATTGGTTTGGTTTCTGATATAGTCAGCAGTATTTGGACATATCTGAAAAATTAATTATTGCACTCAGCGAAGGAAATCTCCAAAGGATGGCAATCTCCAGACAGATGCAGGATGGGAAGGCTGCTGTTGTATTTTTCTGGGCTGAGGGGGGGTCAGGGTGGTCATACAGTCCAGAGGGATTGGATGTGAGGTGGAGGCCAGGTTTCTGTACAGCTCTACCTCCTTTGTCAGGTTCCTGCTTTGTGGAGCAGTGAGCCACAACCTGGGTCCACGCAGGGCAGATGCTCCTCAGGCTCTCAACAGCCAGAGATCTGCAAGTGGTAGAGGGGCATCTTGTGGCCCTTTGGTAGTTCTGTGTCCCTGAGACTTTTCCATCATTTTACTTAATTACCCACAATAATGCTCTCCTGTTTAATTCCAGGTCCTTCACTGGCTGGTTCCACAATAGCTGTCTTTGGCCAAGGCCTTTCCACAGCTCCCAAGGCACGTTGTGTGCACGTGGCAGCACAGTCCCAAGCTCTGATCTGGGACTCAGAGCTGCTGCAGTGCCCTGATATTGCTACCCAACTTGTATAAACCCAGCCCAGCATACAAATCACTATTATTAATTAGAGCAGAGAGATAGGTCAGGGTAACTGAATCAAGCTCCCTCCTTTACAAACGATCCCATGTGGTTGATGTCGTTATGTTCAGCACCAAGACCTATCCTTTATCCATTCTGCAAATGAAGCATACTGCATTGCAGCAGTTTTGGTGGGAAACAGAATAACTCCACTTCTTATCATGTCTTCCAAAGCAAGACACTCACTACCCTAAATCCAATCTCTAACACACCTTGCTCACATGTAGCACCAGTCTTCCCAGCTGGGCAAATACACTGTCCTGTCTTCGGATCGCACGGTGCTTCTCCACAGCTGCATCTCTGCTCACAGTTCACCCCAAAGCTCCCCGGCTGACACACTGGTCAAAAGAAAACCAAAGACATGGTTCGTATAAGGAAGTGTTTTGAAGACATTAGGAGGCACCACCAACAGCAACTTTGGTTGGTACAAAGTGATCAATGTTACCATCAGTGTCTCAGTGACTGGTGGTCTGTGATTAACTGAAACAGAGCTCTAGAAAATCTGCATCTGAAGCTTTAAAAGGAACTATAGCTACCTGGACAAATGTTAGTTTTAGTAACTGGTTTCAGCCTTCTGCCTCGACCTTTGCAAGCAGAGGGACACAGCAGTTGCCAGGCTCCAAATATCAGTTTGGCTTCAGTAGGGAATTGCCAAGTCATATCCACAACAAATGTGCCCTTTTATTTGCAACTTCTACATCTAAACCTAAATTTCCTGAGTAAGCTTTCCCATCCAAAGTACCTCCCAGGGAAACATGCAGTGAGTACCTACATAAATGGCATTTTTCTCCATGAAAGCCCAGTGGACATGGATGTTTGCAGATGCCTGTCTCACGATCACACAAAACATCAGTAGAACAGTTGCACCTCAGTTTGCAACCAGCCCCATAAAAGCCAGGTGAGCACTCTGAAAAATGCAAGTAGAGACAGAACATGTATTATAAAAAAGAAGAGTTAAGAAACTGAACAAAACTCAGAAAATAATGTGGCAGAAACTTGCAGAAAACGTATTATAATGTATGGTTAAAAGGTGCTGATAACGAAGTGTAAATACTTATTAAACAATTGCATGGACATTTCAAAGAGGTTACTGCTTAAATACAGCCCAGAAACAGAGCAGCAGAATACTTAAGGATATATTCAATTACAGCCATTACAGAATTACTCTTCTTATCTGTCTGTACCTTCTGCTGCTCTCTGCCTTGGTGCAAAGCCAGTGCTGGGCGAGGGATGCTCTCCCCCAGAACTGAGCATGTCACCAAGAATGCTAAAGACATTAAATATTGTCACTATTATTCTCCACAAAATCCCCCAGAACTAGTGTCATAAATCCGACACATTCCTGCCTGCCCAGAGAGGAATCTGAAGGGAGAATCTTTATTGCGTTGCTCCATTACTGTCTGGAGAGGGCTACTGAGACATGCAAACATGAATGTGGAATACAATTCTCTTTGAGCTGCCCCAAAAACTACAAAGAATGAGTTGAATTCAAAGGCCTGCAAATCTGAAGGAAAGCAGCATTACTGAAACCATTTACAAATAACCCTGCTGCCATAAAACAGTTTTTACCACTTATTTACTGTCTGTGCAGAAAAAGGAAAGAACAAAAGTGAAAACTCCCACAATCTTCATTATTTAGAATTAGAATTGTATTAGAATTTGGTTTCTAAAGTCCTGTTGTCATTTGATCAGACTAAAACTCCTGCATTCCCCTTGATATCCCTGTAAGCCCTGTGATAGCAGACACTCATGGTGTTTGCTGGATGAAAAACCACAGACAAAATAATTAGTAGAATATGAATATATTAGTAGTAGCAGCAGCAGCCGAACAAAGCAGATGGGAGAAAGAATGAGAAAAAATGCTAGGACAAAGGAATAAGCAGACATAGGAAATGTGCCTTTCTATTATACCTTTCTGACACTTTTTGCCATGATAGCCAGGTTTGCAGGTGCAAGTCCCGTTCCTCGCATCGCATTCCAGCGTGTGCTCTTTCACGCATTGACACTCCTCCGAGCAGCCAGCTCCGAAGGCCCACCTGGGACAGGCTGCAGCCAGATGAAAAGGAATCATTAGCTCTGTAATTATGCATGAGTTATGTGAAATTGCACACTGCTGCAGAATGCAACTGCTGCAAAAAAGCAAAACACTCATTTTACTTTCAGCAAATACATCCACTTTCCTATGACAGTGCCTATTAATGTGTGGGTGTGTAAAATATAGTTTACATGATTCCTTTATTAAGTAATTCATTCCATTTCAAGCAATATGGGGTGCATGCAAGAACCAGAAATGTTTCAAAGCAAATTTAGTTAAGTTTCTGAATGAAAAAATATTTGGAAACACTCCAAGAAAAAAGCTTTCATGAAAAAAAAAAAAAAAAAATCACAACTAGTTTTCAATCTTGTAGAGAATTTACAAACAAAACCTGTAAGTGCAAAGAAACTTGATCATCTCTTTTGTAACATTTTTGTTTTGATTCTTTTTATTCCCATTTAACATTTTGCCCTCATCCTGCCCCAACCAACCCTGCTCCTCAGCTCCCACTCCAACCGTATCGGCAGCCACTAACTACCTCCAACCAGACTTTAAGCTCTCCAAGAACTCTAACATTAACCTGCCCACCCACAACCCAGTTCTACCACTAGTCCTCACCTTTGTGTGTCATTAAATCTCGGTCCTATGGTAAAGATTAATTGCTAGAGAAAAAGATTGATGAAATTTCTGGGGCTTCCTGACACGTATCAAAAGTTGTGTCCTCCTGCTACTCCCAGCTCATTGCAGAACCCCAAGCCTCACTCATTTTATACATGATGTGGCATGTTTTTAAGACTAACACATTGTGCCTGCGTTAAATAAACAGATCTGAAAAATTCTGGGGACTTACTAAGATGGCAGAAGCGCCCGTAGAGCCCGGGGTCACACAGGCAGGCTCCATAGAGTCTGTGGCAGTAGCCGTTGTTGGCACAGTTGCACGGTTTGTTACAGTTCTTCCCAAAGAGTCCTTTTGGGCAACCTTTTGAGTGCACAAACACAACAGGGCATCAGCTCTTCAGTGTTAAAATATAAACACCAAATCAGCTCTCTTCTTGTTGAGCTACAGAAAAGACCACACTGATATTGTCGCTGAGCTGGGGCTCATCCTCACAAGGCACTTGCTTTCTCTTACCCTTTGTCTTGCCTAATATTTAAACAAAAGCCATGGCAAGGCAGGCCACAGGGTTAGAGTCCATCTCACACAGCGGAGTCCCTAAGATTTACCACACACAGTTACATCTAGATAGAAACAAGGGGAAAGAAGCGGTGAGGTTTCAGGCACACACTAGAGGCGGCAGGACACGGGGAGCCGTACCATCCTCGCAGAGCTTGCCGAGCACGCCGGGCGGGCAGCGGCACTGCCCCATGATGGGGTCGCAGGAGCCTCCGTTCTGGCATTTGCAAGTGCTGGCACAGCCTCTGCCATACGTCCCGGGGGAGCAAGCTGCAGAGAAAGCAGGGAAGATGAATGGGTGAAGAAATCCTTTCCCTTTGCTAGAAATGAAGAGAAATAAGACTCCAGTCATCAAAATTTGCAGGAAAAGAGTCCCTTTAGTCAAGCAGGCTCTAAACAAAGTCATATTCTTTTTATATAAGGTAATACACATCCATCTAATATTTACTAGATAATTTTAAAGGGACCCCTGATTTTAACCAAGCTTACTTATGTGAAGTACAATGTGATGTATCCAAATTCTCCCCTGCAAACGCTGCCCTCCACACAATGCATGAGGCTCAAAAAAAAAAAACCTCAAAACCCAACCCATAAAGTACAAAGTGCAAAATATCAGAGTACAGTTTTGAATATTTGGAGACAACTATTTTAAACTCTCCCCTCCCAGATACTATCATAAAAATAACATTGTGTTTTTCCAACACAGTCTCTTAAACTCCCCAGATGTTCAAGGCAGAAATGGATCCAAAACAGCACAGGATTCTTTCCTAAAGAATCTAATTGCTCCAGCGTAAAACAAACTGTGAAATGAAGCCTTGCTCCACTGTTTGCAGCCCGAGCTAGCTGAGTAAATACAGTTGCTGGAGTCATCTGACTTAACTGACATTTTATCAATGTACATTAAGAAACTTGACATTTCACATCAATTTCCATTCGGCTTCTTTGGTGCATTATTGGGAAAGATGTCCCTGTCCATGGCGGGGGGGTGGACTAGATCATTAGAGGTCCCTTCCAACCCAAACCATTCTGTGATTATTACAGAAACTTAGTTCCACTTTTCTCAACTGTTTAGCCTATCCTAAACCCATGAACTATGCTGTATAGTAACAAAGTGAGAGAAAAGAGTGAAAGCAATCACATATAACTAATTTATACAGATTATATATTGTATTTATCACTGTCAATGCCTACTTCATCAGACTGCAGGTTTGGCTCAATAACACACTCCAATTAAAGTTCTTTAAATTCCAAAGGCAAATTCCACCAGATTACATGCATGGATATCTACTGTAAATATAGACCAATAATTTTACTATTATCATTTATGAAGTGAACTAAAGAATTTGTGTCCTGTCTTGAAATTTTTATAATCTATCCTGAACCACTAGAGCACCTTAAATAGAAGTAAGAATATCCTGACTTGATAGCTTGAACTGTCTTAGGAAGACTAGAAATTATCATTTTAATCCTCTTCATTTTCATTCTTGCAGCTGTCCCCAGTGTTTACAACCCAAACCCATGATCAGTCTCCCAGAATAACTACAGGAAGACTTGGTTTCAATCACATGATGTTTTTTTCTATATTTCTGTCCTTGTGGTGATGTGTTCTAAACAATCTCGATGGCAATTAACCTGAAGATTGCTGTCTACCAATACTAAGTAATAATTCTTCATCATCTATTTATCTCATTAGTGACAGCACAAGCTTTCTGAGTATGATGGGCCATCACGCCATACACCATGAAAGGTGGGGACCCATCTCAAACACACAGAGGGACTGCTGTGTGAAGTCTCAGTCAAGCAACTCAAGTTTTGCCAAACTGCAGCTGAAGAGCACATGGTACATTCAAGGAATTGCCGTTCTATCTTTCCACTTGGTTTTGAGATATACTTCTTAACCAGAAACATCTTCTGCCAGGAAGCAGGAATAAGAAGAGTAGAAAGCTATTACAAAGGGCACTGGCCAACCTGGCAAAAGAATTCCGAAAAATACGATTTCCAATATTAAAAATTAACCATCCCAAGAAAATTAAGTTAATGATGAAAAGAATTATAAGAAATAAAACAGGCCCAAATTTACCAACACAAAGAAGGAGGGAGAAAAAAAAAAAAGGCAATGTCTTGGAATGTTACAAAGGAAAAATCAAGTCTGCGTCTGCCCAGACTGTCACACCACCTGCCAGGACAGACTTCTCAAAGTCAGCGAGGCAAGTTGTGCAGCAAAGCATGGCAGGCAAACCTTGGCACTTTTCAGCAGCAGAGTGAATGGGAATGAACATCAACACAAATACTTAGGAAGGGGTATGGTACTGCACTGCACTGAGGGCAGAGGCCTCGCTGTTTCAGGGTTTGTATTGCATACTGTAGCATCCCTTACAATTTCTATTTCACATGCCACATTATGATAAGATTTTGATCTGTGAGGCAGCTGTGCTCCTTAGAGAGCTTTACAGATTAAAAGTACACCAGGATATTCCTATTTCCTACCTATCTGCAGTGTCACAGCACTAGGACAAAGTCCCCACCTTTCAAACACCCTGTACTCACTTTCATTACAGATAATGCCAGTCCATCCAGGTGAGCAAACACAGCCACTGTGTTCACTGTTACATCTGCCTCCGTTCAGACAGTCCTCACAGCTCAAGCTACAGTCATTGCCAAAAGTGTTATCAAGACAAACTGAAACAAAAAAAATACAGAAGGCTTAGTAAGCATACAGACAAAATACTTGCACAAGCTCTTACCTATCGTTCCAGATGCACAAGTGGAAAAAGAAACCTACACAACATCAGCAATCACAACAACACAAAATGTGTTAATGTTGTTAGCGTTACAGATACCACTGAATTGTCCCAAAAGATGGTCCCAAGTGGAGATTACCATATTTTCCTCTTCAAATTTTAGAGTCTGAAAGGAAATCGGGGACTTTAGCTGGAATACTCCTTTAAATGCTGTGATTCCCCATCAAAGAGCACTTAAAACTACTTTTAAAGAGCAAATATTTTGCCTTCATATGAAGTGAATTTGCACTAATGTTTAATAATATTGTATATAATTAAAAGTGTTTCTTGGGAGAGAATCTCCTTTTCTCCTTGTTAGTCTCTCTGTTTTGTTCTTCTGTTGCAGTAAGTGGATGAGTTGCTGTTAAAGTGTAGTTCAGTGATATTTTTAACAGCATGATTTGAGTGTTATTCTGGGAAAACAAAGCATAATACACATCAACACTTCATTTTTTCTTCATGGATATGAAAAAGATGTTAGTTTATATGGGAAATCTAATACGAAAAAGCATTCCTCCTTCACCTTCCCCACCCTCCTTTTCCCCCTTGCACCCAAATACCAGCACACACATGCCCATCCTCATGTTCTCACTTTGGGGGGGTCTATTGAGAAAGGCATAAAACAAATGTTACTCTCTGTTAAAATATCTCAGTGACATAAAGTTCCTATCCATGCGGTCAGTTTATTGCCTTCGAGGCTTTATGGCTGTGGCTGGAGGCTTTTTGGAAGGGGATTTTGAACAACACCTGAAAGCGAGCTGGCAGATTATTTCAGCTAACAGTAAGCCAGCAGGCTGGTTGCTTTTCACCAGTAATTTTCTGTGTCAGGCCAGATTTCCTCTAGGTCTCAGCACCCAACTGTTCCTTTTTCTGAAACTGAACAAATGGCCAAGCTTTCAGAGACATTCAGAATGCCAGTGCTCCTGCTTGGAACAGGTTACAAATTCATACTTCAGGAGAAGTATTACCATTAAAAACATCATGTTTCTACATTAAAAAGTCATTAAATCTATAGAATATAGTTAATTACTTACACCAGCTTATTGTTTAAAGCTGTATTTTTATAATACAGAGAGCAGCAGAAAAATATGTCTGAAAGTATAAGGAGTATATCAGCATTTGTGAGGTAAAAGAACTTACTAAACCATTAAAAGCTTCATTCCTCCATCACCTTTTCCTACAAACCCTCACGTGCTGCAAAGCCTCAGCTTTAGAAAAAGTGCAGACGCTCAGCTATGACTGATAATACCCAAAGTTGTGTGGCTAAACATAAATAAAACATGCAAAAAACAGTCAATAAATATTTGATTGTGGTTTCTAGGCCTGATAACTTTGCCTGTGGTTATCTCATTTATCCATTTCCCAATTGGTTATCAGTGTCGTTGAGTCCGGCTGGATGCTATGAGATTTGGGAGGTCTTAACAGTTTTGTTCATAAAAATAAGTTAATTTTTTATTAAAGCCAAGACCAGTTCCTGATTTTTGCCTGTAGGGCACAGTCCTCGGATGAGTAATTAGAGCTCATATAAAAATCACAGGACATACATAGAAAAAATAAAAAAACCTCATTTCTCCCGGGTGAACCACCAGCACATACTGCACTCATCAGAAAGCAAGCACGGGATTTCAGCTCATAATACTCTGTAAGTGGTGAAGTTTTCATCTTCAGGTGGAAAAACTGAAGTCATGCAAAGTCCAGGTGGGGTGTAATGCTGCTTTGCACCCACTCTTGTGACTGTGTGGGCTCATGTGCTCTGTTTGCCAGCAGTTGTGCCAAGCCCTTGGCCAGCCTCAGCTCCGAGTGGATGATTCCATGCTTTTCCCAGAGAACATGCCCTGAAGCATCAAAAGGGACCTGAATCTCCAGAGGGTTGTTTTTTCCACAAACAAGAATGCAAATATCTTAAGCAAAACCCCCTCCAATTATTATAAAAGAGCTTGTAAACAGGTACAGATGCCCTCACACTCCCTTTTCCTAGCCCTGGGAGAATGGGAAGGTTTCCCAAGGGCCTGTTCTCAGTGGAACAACTTCAGTGGATTTTGGGCATTGCAGTGATCCACACAACCCTTTCACCCCTGGGATGAAGAGAATCTCTCTGTCTGTTGCCTCTGGGGCTTTATACAGATGTCTTTTTTTTCCAAGAAACCTCCCATCCCTTGGCTTTCTATGCTGCTCACTTTTCCCATGCCCCCCTCCACATCCCCCCCTGCCACATCCAGGCAGCAGCATCTGCGACCAGGGAGCCTCCCTGTTCCCCAAACATGTCCCATTTGGGATGGGACATGTGGCGATGCCTCCTCCCTGCTGGCAGGGAGGACAGGAAGAAAGCAGGATTAATGCTCATCCCTCCTCTGCTCCCGGCCAGCCCAGCAGCACTCTCCCCCCAAATCCTCTTTCTAAGACTACTCTCCCAGTTTGCTGTGAGGGCTAAAAGCGATTCATTCACTCACCGACCCTGTGCACCAGGGTGAGCTCTCCTCGTGGGTGTTCATCCTCGTAGAAGGCACCAAGCGTGTAGCGAAGGAGCTGGGGGGGACCTCTGAACTGCAGCCCCGGAGCCCCAGCGAACCCTGCTGCCTCCTCCACATCCATCTCTTCCCCACCTAGGGCTGGACACACAGACGTGCCATCAGGACCTGGCGCCGAGTCTTCCTTCCTGACACTTTCCTCTCATTTACTTTCTTTTTTTTTTTTATTATGCTGGTAGATTTTCCAGCTACACACCCCTGTGCAGTCTGCACAGCAGTCACAGCTGATTCATTTTCTCATCTGTATTTAGAAACAGAGTTTCTGCTATCCAAAAAGAGAAAAGCAGCCATTTTGATCTCTAATTCCCCCACATTTTGGGTCAGAAATGCCTTAGATCCTTTTGAAAATCCCAGACTAAATAGAAGACTTTGGAATTCAACTTTTTGAGCTCCTCTCTTTGGAAATCTTACACTTCATGATTTCTTCCTTCACAGTAGTTTTCTCTATTAATATGGAAACAGTTCTCCAGCTAAAAAAGCCCTTTGAATTCCAAATAGGTTTTCAGTGACCTGGTTCAGAGTGTTACTTGAACCAGTTTTCCAGGAGCTCTATCTGGGGCATTATTTTAAAGGGACCCTACAAAAATAACACTCCAGTGTTTTAAGTTTTAAGATTAATCCAGCATGATTTAAGAGACCACAGAGTAATTGCCATTACTAAAATGGTCCTTCAAGACTACTGGCTGAAATAAATATTACAGAGAGAAATGTTGTTTCAAAATGCATACATATATCTGTATAAAATATTCCTTTCCATTCAAAGCTCAGTAAGCCAGAGTGTTGATTAATATCTTTCTTCCCAGCAAATAGTCCATAGTTTCTTACCTAAACAGGACTTTTTTGTCTGCAGAAAGATAATGCCCTGGATGACACCTGCATTTAGCAATTCCTCTCTCATTTTGACAGATTTGTGAGCATCCTTCATTTCCACTTGTGCAGGGGTCTATCACTGAAACCAATTAGAGCAGACTGTCAACTTAAAGGTCGCGTTTTTGCCTGAAAATGATGTTACCTGCCATCATTACAACTAACAATGAAGATTACTATAGCTGTAAGAGATTAGACTGGGGAAAACAAAACAAAAAAAGATAAAATTTGGTGTATAGTAAAGCTGTTGTTTTTCTCTATGCTGCTTTCTCTGTTGCTGTACAGCTACGATGCTTTAAACAGTGGGAAGCTGGGCTCTTGGAAGTAGGACAAGAAAAGTACATTTTATTCTTATTTCACTGTAACTGAGCATATTTCAAGAGCTGCTCTAAACAATAGCAATTAGCACTCCAGTATGCGTGAACCCATAAACACATACAACGGTGGAGTTCACCATGGAACAATGTGTATTTAAAAGTCTCTGGAGGAAATAAATAC